TTCACAGATCGCAGCCCCCCCAGGGATGGCGAGGTCGGATTTGAATCCGCCGTGGGTCCCCACTGCGCTGGGCCCCCCAGCAGGCCTCGAAATTGGCGACAGTTGCACAGATCGCAGCCCCCCAGGGATGGCGAGGTCCCATTTGAGTCTGTGGTGAGTACCCACTGTGCTGGGCCCCTCTGCAGCCCTCGAAAGTGGCGACCGTTTTACAGATCGCAGCCCCCAGCAGCCCCACCGGAGAACCATACAAGAACGATGGGCGAAAACTACAGGCTCGAACATGACATGGGGAGCCGGGAGCGAAGAGCAGGAGAAAGACGCGCGGGAAGCCCCCTGTGCTGTGCCCCTCAGCAGCCCTCGACAGTGGAGGCAGTTTAACAGATCGCAGCCCCCCAGGGATGGCGAGGTCCCATGTGAGTCTGCCGTGGGTACCCACTGTGCTGCGCCCCCCAGCAGGCCGCGAAAGGGGCGACAGTTTCACAGATCGCAGCCCCCCAGGCATGGCGAGGTCCCATTTGAGTCTGTTGTGAATACCCACTGTGCTGGGCCCCTCAGCAGGCCTCGAAAGTGGCGATAGTTTCACAGATCGCAGCCCCCCCCAGGGATGGCGAGATCGGATTTGAATCCGCCGTGGGTGCCCACTGTGTTGGGCTCCCCAGCAGGCCTCGCAAGTGGCGACATTTTCACAGATCGCAGCCCCCCAGGGATGGCGAGGTCCCATTTCAATCCGCCGTGTGTACCCACTGTGCTGCGCCCCCCAGCAGGCCGCGAAAGTGGCGACAATTTTACAGATCGCAGCCCCCCAGGGATGGCGAGGTCCCATTTGAATCCGCCGTGGGTACCCACTGCGCTGCCCCCCCCAGCAGGCCTCGAAAGTGGCGACAGTTTCACAGATCGCAGCCCCCCAGGGATGGCGAGGTCACATTTGAGTCAGCCGTGGGTGCCCACTGCGCTGGGCCCCCCAGCCGGCAGCGAAAGTGGCGACAGTTTCACAGATCGCAGCCCCCCAGGCATGGTGAGGTCCCATTTGAGTCCGCCGTGGGTGCCTACCGTTGGGCCCCCCAGCAGGCCTCGCAAGTGGCGACATTTTCACATATCGCCGCCCCCCAGGGATGGCGAGGTCACATTTCAATCCGCCGTGTGTACTCACTGTGCTGCGCCTCCCAGCAGGCCTCGAACGCGGCGACAGCTTCACAGATCGCAGCCCCCCAGGGATGGCGAGGTCACATTTGATTCCGCCGTGGGTACCCACTGTGCTGGGCCCCCGAGCAGCCCTCGAAAGTGGCGACAGTTTCACAGATCGCAGCCCCCCAGGGATGGCGAGGTCACATTTGAGTCAGCCGTGTGTACTCACTGTGCTGGGCCCCCCAGCAGCCTCGAAAGTGGCGACAGTTTCACAGATCGCAGCCCCCCAGGGATGGCGAGGTCCATTTGAGTCCGCCGTGGGTACCCACTGTGCTGGGCCCCCCAGCAGGCCTCGAAAGTGGCGACAGTTTCACAGATCGCAGCCCCCCAGGGATGGCGAGGTCTAATTTGAATCCGCCGTGGGTGCCCACTGTGCTGGGCCCCCCAGCAGGCCTCGAAAGTGGCGACAGTTTCACAGATCGCAGCCCCCCAGGGATGGCGAGGTCAATTTGATCCGCCGTGTGTACCCACTGTGCTGGGCCCCCCAGCAGGCCTCGAAAGTGGCGACAGTTTCACAGATCGCAGCCCCCCAGGGATGGCGAGGTCAATTTGAATCCGCCGTGGGTCACTGTGCTGGGCCCCCCAGCAGGCCTCGAAAGTGGCGACAGTTTCACAGATCGCAGCCCCCCAGGGATGGCGAGGTCCATTTCAATCCGCCGTGTGTACCCACTGTGCTGGGCAGCAGGCCTCGAAAGTGGCGAAGTTTCACAGATCGCAGCCCCCCAGGGATGGCGAGGTCACATTTGTCCGCCGTGGGTACCCACTGTGCTGGGCCCCCAGCAGCCCTCGAAAGTGGCGACAGTTTCACAGATCGCAGCCCCCCAGGGATGGCGAGGTCACATTTGAGTCAGCGTGTGTACCCACTGTGCTGGGCCCCCCAGCAGCCCTCGAAAGTGGCGACAGTTTCACAGATCGCAGCCCCCCAGGGATGGCGAGGTCAATTTGAGTCCGCCGTGGGTACCCACTGTGCTGGGCCCCCCAGCAGCCCTCGAAAGTGGCGACAGTTTCACAGATCGCAGCCCCCCAGGGATGGCGAGGTCACATTTGAGTCCGCCGTGGGTACCCACTGTGCTGGGCCCCCCAGCAGGCCTCGAAAGTGGCGACAGTTTCACAGATCGCAGCCCCCCAGGGATGGCGAGGTGCAATTTCAATCCGCCGTGTGTACCCACTGTGCTGGGCCCCCCAGCAGGCCTCGAAAGTGGCGACAGTTTCACAGATCGCAGCCCCCCAGGGATGGCGAGGTCCCATTTGAATCCGCCGTGTGTACCCACTGTGCTGGGCCCCCCAGCAGGCCTCGAAAGTGGCGACAGTTTCACAGATCGCAACCCCCCAGGGATGGCGAGGTGCAGTTTCAATCCGCCGTGTGTACCCACTGTGCTGGGCCCTCCAGCAGGCCTCGAAAGTGGCGACAGTTTCACAGATCGCAGCCCCCCAGGGATGGCGAGGTCCCATTTGAATCCGCCGTGGGTGCCCACTGTGCTGGGCCCCCCAGCAGGCCTCGAAAGTGGCGACCGTTTCACAGATCGCAGCCCCCCAGGGATGGCGAGGTGCAGTTTCAATCCGCCGTGTGTACCCACTGTGCTGGGCCCCCGAGCAGCCATCGAAAGTGGCGACAGTTTCACAGATCGCAGCCCCCCAGGGATGGCGAGGTCTCATCTGAATCCGCCGTGTGTACCCACTGTGCTGGGCCCCCCAGCAGGCCTCGAAAGTGGCGACAGTTTCGCAGATCGCAGCCCCCCAGCTGGCGCGCAGCGGCGAGCGAGGCGAAAAGGCAAGGGGGAAGAGAGGGACGGGAGGGGGTGGGAAGGAGACGCGCGAGCAGTGCTCTATCCAAAACGAGAAACCAACGCAGGAGGGTTAGGCAAAACTATGACAATGTACTGCGCGAAGTGCATCCATGTGGCGCGCTCGGGCGGCTATCAAAGCCAGAGGCGTTCCCGCGTGTACTCCCAGGCCGTTCACGGTGGGGTTTGGTTGCCTCTGAGGTTGTTAGGCGGAGGCATTTTGGATCATTATGGCAAGTCTTATTTGGGTTAAATCCACCGTTTCAGCTTCCGGAATCACCTGGAACCGTTCTGGGGTGATTCTGGAAGCTTTACACTTACCGTTTCAGGTTCCAGAATCACCCTGGAACCGTTCCGGGGTGAAAACCCATCTGGCCCCATTTTGAGTTTCTCCCAGAAGGCTTCTCTTAGCCTTACTGGGCTCTTTACAGAAGCCCTTATTGGGCTCCTTGCAGAAACCCTTATTGGGCTCTTTGCAGAAGTTCTTATTGGGCTCCTTACAAAAGCACTTATTGGGCTCCCTACAGAAGCCCTTATTGGGCTCCTTACAGAAGCCCTCACTGGGCTCCTTACAAAAGCCCTCACTGGGCTCCCTACAGGAGCCCCCACTGGGCTCCTTGCAGAAGCCCTCACTAGGCTCCTTACAGAAGCCCTGATTGGGCGCATTACAGAAGCCCCCAAGAGAGCCGTTTTGCGTTGGGAGAGGGTTCCAGATGGATTTTCACCCTGGAACGGTTCCGGTGTGAAAATCCATCTGGGACCTCCCGACGCTGCGCGGGAGAGCCCAGCCGCGAAAAACAAGCTCCCCTATAATATATTTTATTTGGACAATTCATTTTTGGAGATCGGGTACACCTCCCCCCATCCCCGACAGAGCCGTTTTGCGTCGGGAGAGGGTTCCAGATGGATTTTCACACTGGAACGGTTCCGGGATGAAGACCCATCTGGACCCATTTTGAGCTCCTCCCAGAAAGGCTTCTTTCAGCTCCTTACTGGACCAGGGGGAGGCCTCACTTTGCCCAGTGGCTGTGGTCACCCCCCCGCCGGAGACGCCAGGACGCTCCCAGGACCCTCCTATAATGGCTCCAGGACGCCCTCAGGACAGCCCAAGAGAGGTCCGAAGCGGCCCGGGAGCATTCCAAGACGGTTAAAAAGCTGCCAAAGCGTCCCAGCAGGTCTCCGACAGCATTCTCGGGAGGGGCCCAATAGGAAATTGACAATGATTTTGAATGGGTTTTGAACGGTTTTGGCGTTCTCCAGGGCGGAGCGGTTAAAAAGGTACGTTTTACGAAGGGAATGGGCAATTTTTCAGTCTGGGGGGGCCCTCTTGGGACGCATCTTGGGGCCCTCTTGGGGTGTCTTGAAGGCTCCGGAGGCCGTCTGGGGACCGTCTGGAGGCCATTGTCGTCGTCTTCGGCCGGTATTTTGGCGACTCGTTGCCTTCTTGGACCGTCTTGGGCGCCTCTTGGGGCCTTCTTGGCCCGTCCTCGGGCCCTCCATGCCCCGGTGGCGCGTTCGTAGGGGGCCGGGGGGGGGGGGGGTCGAATCTCCAGTTTGGGATCCCTGGGGGGGGGTTATGGGGGGGGACAATCTCACACGCCTAGAAACCCACAAGGGGTCGGCGGATTTGTTTAAAGACAGGCTGCGCTTGACGTTTGGGGAGGAACGGTATATTTCCCGCGGGCGTTTTCGCGGGGCAGCCGCGCTGTTGCAGCATGTGCGCCAGCGTGATCAAGCGCGGGCGCGCATGCCGCGACGGCAGCGCGGTTGGTTGAACATTGTTTGCTTTTCACACTTGGCACTGGAATCAAAAGCGCTTTTTCCCCAAATCCGTAGCCATTTTGGCTCAAGCAGGGTGCCGCGCCCGCTGAGAAGGCCCCCGCGCCCCTCGGGGCCCGGGGGTGGGTGGGGGGGAGGGCGCGCGCGCGCGCGACCGCGTGAGGTCGGCCCTCCCGCGCCATGGCGGGCTGACCTCCCGCGCCGGGCGGCGGCTGCCTCCGCGCCCTCGGGCCGCCGGAGGCTGCGGGCGTGATGGCCCGACCCTTGTCCGACGAGGCCAGCCTGTGGCTCATTGAGCTCACGGTGATCTACAGCGTGGCCGCGCTCGCCGCACTCACCGCCTACGGCAACGCAAGCGTGCTGATGCAGGGCCGCTGCGGCTCGGCCGTTCAGGCCCTTCAGGTGCGGCGGCAGGCCTCCGCCGAACGCTTCTACCGGTCGAGCTGCGCCCGATGCCTCGGGCTCACGGCGAGGCACGGGCAGGCTCTGGGCTCCTTGGCGTACATGACGACGGTGGTGGTGCCGTGCCTGCTGTACACCGCCACGCTGCTGGGGGGCGCGATGATCGCCCTCGCCGAAGGGTGGCGCTTCCAAGACGGCTTCATGTACATCTGGCAGGACGTGTTCAGCCTTGGCCCGTACGTCTCGTTGCAGCCAGAGGGCGTGTTCGGGATTGTGCTCGACCACTACGTGAGCCTAGTTGTGTTCGTTATCACACAGATCGTATTGGGCTTCTGTGGAGGACTGCAGATCGTCGGCGTCGTCCAGGAGGCAACAAGCAAGTCCGTTTCCGGTTTCGTGCGTATCGTGTTTCTGTACAGCCCGATTTCGATGGCGTTCGTCTGCGTTTGTCAAGCTCTGGTTTTGAGATGGTTGGAAGGCTGGGACCTTCAGGACTCAATGGGCTTCGTTGTAGGAACACTCTGCAATGTTCAGGCTGGTCTCAGCGACGAGAGTCCTCAAAACGTCAGCTCTTTGTTCTTGTGCTCTCAGTTCATTGGCATAACTATGGCCGCTTCTGGGATCGTGATCCAGGTGGTCGGATGCCACCTTGTCGTGGTCGAGTGTGTCACGCGCGTAAATGACATGGGGCTGGCCGTGGCCATGGTCACCCCGAGGATGTGGAGAAGAAAGGCTGGGCCGCCAGCCGAATCAGAGAATACCGTCTGTGAGGAGGAAGAGCCGGAGCGAGTTCCGGCGAACACCACGAGCCCCACGGATGCGAAGCAGGAGTCGCAGCCGTCCTCTTCACAGTCGCAGGAGGAGCTGGCGAGCGTTCCCGCGAGCGTCATCCCGCGGATGCGCGCAGACTCTGACCAACAGCATCTGGAGCCTCAGAAGCCGAGATTGAATTCGCCACCCGAGGAGGAGGACGCCGAAGTGCACAGTCTGAGACTGGCACTGGCTGCTTCCCAACAGCGGGAGCTGCAGCTGCAGCGCGAACTCGAGGCAGCGAGCGAGAGAATAGCTGGTTTCGGTGGAGGGGCCCACGCTTCCCCACAGCCTGCCGCTGAGGGCTCGTGAGGCCAACTTCGCCTGCCCTGGGCGTCGTCCATCTTCATCGGCCCTTGCGAAGCCCACGTGGGCTCGCTGCTTGTTCGGGACGACCGATACTCTCCGGCTTTCGGACAGAGTGCGAGGAGTGACATTGCCACTCAGCGTCTATAGCGCCAGGGCAGTAACAGTAAGTAGCGCAGGTATTTTCTCGAGCGGCAGAATCATTGCAGCTCCGTGTCATCCTGTTCTTCCTTCCCTCCCTCCCTCCCTCTTTTTCTCTCATTTTTTTTGTTGTTCTCTCTCTCTCTCTCTATTTCTCTCCCGCGAGATCTTGCATTTTTCCTCTTTCCCTCCTCTCTCCTTCCCGTTACAATGTTGCTCCTGTTGTGAGTCTGCCAGCTAAGGCTTGCAGGTGTACGCGCGCGCACGGGATTGTGCTCTTCTGGCGCTCTTGTGGGGTCATTATTGCGGGTGCCTCCACCGAAGTATGAGGCCGTGTTTGCATGCATGAGTTGTGCGCCCCGTCTTGCTTCTTGTCCTCCTCCTCCTCCTCCTCCTCCTTCTGCATGTGCTCCGCCAGCCAGCGTGAGCTCGCGTGCACGCTGTGTCAAGGCAGCGCACACTGTGCACCATGCTGTGAGGAAGCGCAGTGAACGAATAAAAAAAGCGCTTTTTCCCCAAAGCTAGTGTTTGTATATAGGAATTCGCATTTCTCTTCTTCCAGAGGCTTTCGGCCTATGAGAGAACCCTCCCCGGGCCGTCAAGAGACGGCTCGGGGCGAGAAGACAAACCCGGAGAACCCGTCGGGGTTTCTGGGGGGCCCGCGTTGACAACATGTTGTGGCCAGTGCGTCGAATCTCTGGGAAAGGAGAGCCTGGGGCCCTCAGTCACCACCCACCACGCCACCCCAACCCAACCCGAAGTCATCAATTTGCCTTCCATTCCCAGTGGGGGGGGGTCGTGGAACGTTGAAAAAACACATGGTATCCGTACCCCCCCCAACCCGAAATTCGGGTCAAATTCGGGTCTTCGGGTTGTGTTGGGGTGGTCTGGTAGGTACTCACTCAGGGGCACATCCTGGGGATCGATCGCGGGTCGGGGAGACAGGTTCCATCGATGATCGAGGATCGAGCGAAGAGGGGCGCGGGCCGAGCGTGGACGCGTCCTTCCCCAGCCTCCGCTCGGCCAGGAGCAGATCTCGGCTCCCACTGGCTACGTCAAGACATCATTACTGTTCAGGAGGGGAAAGCACACACAGACACAAGTAATCGTCGACTCCCAGGAAAACATGGGAAGACATGGGAAGTGTGGGGAAAGGCAATAACCCAGAACATGTTGGAAAATATTGGGAATCCTCTTATTTGTGTGTATTTATTTGTGTGTCCCAGGGCCCCTCCAGTTGTGTAGGCGTGCCCGAAAGCATTTGTCGCTGCTCGCCCGCCTGCGCCCCCGTGCCTCCATTCGAAGCAGATGCGTCTCGCCTTGTGCTCGACCGCTTGTTGGCCTGTTGGACCCAACTCGCCGTCGACCAAAAACGTAAGTGTATTGGTGCGTGGGATGCCAGCGTACCCTTCGTACGCGCGTCCAGCGACCCCACGCGCCCGCTTTCCGCACGCAAGCCTCCTCCCAGAGCCTTGACAGAGTCTTGGTACATCCGGACGCGTCCCTGAGGCGACAATACCTTCAGGAACCAACGAAGTTTCCAGACGCTTGCGAAGGCTTCCTTCAGCGGCAACGTTAGGGGGTGATAGGCTCAGTTGAGAACGCATCGATCCCCAATCGCACACTGATCGCCAATACGGGCCCGATAGCCCGCCCCGCCCAGGAACGCGCGGATCCGCAATCAGGGCAGATGGCTGATCTATCGGCGATGAACCGCCGATTTCGGCTCCATGCTGGCCCCCCCCCGAGCCGCCCACCCTCCCTCCTGTAGCGTTGCCCCTGCTTGTCTTCGGGCCGTACAGCTCGGGCGTCCCGCGGCCGCTCGTGACGATCCGGGCGCCCCCAGCTTCGCATCCTGCGAGGCGCAGCTGCCGGAAAGCACCCCGAGGGTGGCCGAGGCGTGGAAGACCACCGGACACGCCTCGAACCTCGACCCTCCCCGGCTCGATGCTGCCCCCCCCCCCCGAGCTGGCCGTCCGCTCTCGTTGCCCCTCGCGCCTCTCGTCGGGGATTCTGGGCCTGGCCTCCCGCCCCGGAGGTCGGCGGAACAACTTCGCTGGCCGTTCCACTGTGTGTCGGAGCCTCGGACCTCTGGCCTGCGAGGGCGGGCTCTCGTCGGGGATTCTGGGCCTTGCCCTGCCCGCCCCTCGGGGGCCACGTGCGCACCCTACTCCTGCCCCCCACGATTTCCGAGGGGGAGGGTTCGCATGTGGCCCCCTACGCCCCCCTCCCCCGACCCCGGACCCCGGCGGCGCAGATTGTCGGCCTGGACTGCGCCTCGGCTGCCGCGCTCGCGCTGCGGGAGGCGGGCGCCAGGCTGCAGGCCGCTCCTCGCATGCTCCTTCGCAGCGCTCGCGCGGCTGGCGCCCCGTCGAACTTCTTCACGATTCGCGGCAGTACTCGGAAACCGGAACATATACAATACCAGTGGTGGGCTGTTTTTCCATCCCAGGACTTCTTGAGGGGCGAGGACGATGTTGCGGTGGTGTGGCGGATACTTTTTCCCCGATGTCCCGGGGAAACAACGACAAATATATGCACCAGGTTCCCGTAGACGCCAGGATCCGCTTTCCAGTGCAAATTCCACTGCAGGGCCGGAAGAAGCGTCGGTGTATAGAGTTCGATTTCCTAAATACCGACCTTACCACAGCAATGGCACCACATGGTTGCGAGCAGCAGCGCGATCGGCGTGGACCTCGCGTGAGCATGATTTGTTCAGCTTTTGACTTTGAGAGGCTGCGGGATACGTGCCCAAGCGGGCACAGACATACGCGCCCTCGCCGTATGTGCTGGGGGGTCGGCGCCTCGCTCGCTGGCTCGCTCTTAACGACGCGCGTATCCCACCCAGCCCATTCAGAAACGATGCCCAGAAGCCTTCAGGCGGCTCCTCGTCGCCGCGGCCCAGGTGCCCAGGGTCGCCGTGAAGAGGGGTCCCGAGGGAAACGTGGCCTGAGGTCTCTCGCTGTTTTCTGGCTCTTGGCTGCAGGAGACAGCTTCTGCATCCACTGGCGAGAACAGGCGTGACTGGAGGGCGGGGGAAGGGGGGATCGGAGCCAGTACGTCGCGATTCGCGCCGGCGCCGACCGGAGAAACGCTTCGGAACGACTATCAGTTCCCAGAAGGAGCCGGCGCGAATCGTGACGTGGCCTGAGGGGAGGGGGGAGGGGAGGGGCCAGGGTCGGTCACGGGCGTTCTCACGAACAATGAAAGACTGATCACGCACGAAGTCTCGGGCGATGGTTTTTAGATCCAGGCGACGCAACGAGCATCGCAACGGCCAGTTTTGAGCTCCCTCGGCCTCTGGAGGCAGTTTCCTGGCACTGGCACCATCAAGCTACTCCTCATGATGAAGAGTCGTCCCCCGGGTGGAGGTCGAGATCTCTGGAGACACGTTGCAAATAATCTCCGCTGTTGGACGAGAAGGGAAGAAGGGACTGCAGTCGGATCATTGCCACGAGAACGTATTCTGAGATCCAGGCGTTGCAATCTTCTCACCCCACGGGCGCTTTCGCTTTGTTTCCGGCTCCAGGACCATCATAGATCGATCCAGCTCGAGATATGGCGCAGAAGATATTGTCGTTATTGTGAAGGCGTTACGGCTGGTGCCGTCGACCCAGAAGGACGACGACGACGACGGCGACGACGACGACGACACAACGTCGACAACGACAACGACGAGCTGATGACCCTTCCAAAAGCTATGAACATGGGTCGGGCGGTGGAGGCAGGAGGAGGAGGAGGAGGAGGAGGAGGAGGAGGAGGAGGAGGAGGGGGAAGAGGATGAGGAAAAGGAGGAGGAGGGTGAGGAGGAGGACGTGGAGGAGTCGGAAGAGGAGGAGGAGGAGGAGGAAGAGATGGAGGAGGAGAAGAAGGAGGCGCACGACGAGGAGAAAGACGAGAACGAGGAGAAAGAGGAGAAAGGGAGACAGAGGAGAAAGAGGAGAAAGAAGAGAGAGAGAGAGAGAGGAGAAAGAGGAGGAGGAGGAGATAGAGGAGGAGGAGAAGGCGGGAGAGGAAGAGGAGGAAGAGGAGAAAGAGGAGAAAGAGGAGGAAGAGGAGGAAGAGGAGGAGGAGAAAGAGGAGGAGAAGAAGGAGGAGAGCCGTCTGCCTTGTCGGGTGTGGGCCGGGGCTGGGGCCTGGAGCCAGAGCCGGGGCCGGTGCTGGGGCCGAGGCTGCGGCCGGGGCTGGGGCCGAGGCCGGGGGGCCAGGGCCAGGGCGGAGCTGAGGCTGAGGCGGAGGGAAGGGCCTGAATTCCTTAGCTGACAGGGAGACCACACGCCTGTCCTCCTCCACAGGGGTGACGACCAGGTGGGAGTCACGAGCCCCAGGGGACCCCCCCGGCCAACCCCCCCCCCCCGGCGGGGAAGCGACAACGGAACGATTGGGTCGGCGGGATGATCTTTCCGCAACGTCGGATCTCAGGGACGAGAACGTGAGTCAAGAGCATGAGCTGGGGAAGCCAAACACGTATGTACCAATGCCGCTGCTCCCCGAGCCTCTCCCAAGGGTGCGCTCTGACCAGAGTTTCGAGGCGAATCTGGCCGCAATGACGAGGGCAGGATTCCGTCGAGGGATCTGTTTCTCATCTGATGAGCCCCTATGCCGAGTCACGAGGCCTCATGGATCAAGCGAAGCGTCAGGCGGGGATTGGCTCAGGAGGGGACACATCGACCCCCAGGTCGAGGGGGCCTATCGTCGACATATTGGCGATGTATGGCCGATTCAAGCTCGATGTTTCCCCTCTGGGCCGGTTCACCTCGTTGGTGCCCCTCAGTCTGGGGATGGGTACGGCCAGGATCGGCGCAGGTGGCCAGTTACCCTGGTAATCTACTTTACGATGTTTGTCAATCCGCGCGTTTTTGCGCGATTTCGTGCTCTGGGGCCCTTTTGGGGGCTCTACGACCGCCAAACATGGATCCGTGGCGAAAAATTGTCCTCAGGGAAGTGGTCGAGACCTATGGGGTCGCGCATCGAACATATCTATCTCATCGTCAGATGTCAGTGAGACGCTCCATGAAAAGCGTCAGGAATCCTCAATCGTCGATCCTACGAACAACGAGGAACTGTCGTTCGTTAAATCTAGGTTCTAGGCCTCCTAGATGTGGTCGCAGTAGATGGGGTCGGAGGATCGCGTCGCATCTCCGACACATCGGCGATGCGGCTCGATGTGGAGCGCACATTTCTCCATGCCGACGTCGTTGGTTCACCGCCGATATCGCCTGTGCATCGGCGATGCGGCGCGATTCTCCGACCACATCTACTCGAACCCCATCTGGGAGGTCTCTAAGCGAGGAATCGTCGGTCCTTGATCCTTTCGGGCGTGCAGACTTCTTTGAGATCGCTCCCCACGGACACGATGGCGTAGCTCGTGTCCGTGCCGTGCGCTCGCATCGGGCAGTGCCAAGGGGGTCACCACCACAGTTAGGTGACCATATGGCGAGTGAACTATTCAACTGGCAATGGGCTGTATGAGGGTTCGCGGCTGGGGCGCGGGCCGCCCTGTCTGCCTTGTTGGACGACAGCCAACCTTGAGTTCTTGGAACACATTCCCCTCGTCAAAAGCGGCTGTTGAAACCCACGCTGTGGGCTGCTGGAATCATTGCCCCCCATGAGACAAGGCATTAGAACCCGCCCTTGTTGTCAGCATAAGCTGCTGCAGCCACTCTCCCTTGTCAGAATTTGGTGCTGGAGCCCACGCCGTGGGCTGCTGGAACCCTTCTTGTCGGCATATGCTGCCAGTCTCCGCCGTAAAACTTGAGCGCCGGAACCTCACCCCGTGCAGTCACGCCTCGCTCTATTACAGGGGCGTGGCGCGCGCGTGCGCGCACGTACGTGCGCGTGCGCGTTTGTGTGAGCGCGCGCGTGTGCGTGAGCCTGCGCGCGTGCGTGCTCGCGCCCGCGGGCGTGCGCGCGCAGGCTCGGGCGCGAGCGCAAGCCCGAACGCGAACGCGAGCCCGACCCCGAGCCCGCAGCCGAGCGCGAGTTTGAGACCGAGCCCAAGCCCCTGAGCGCGTGCGCGTGCGCTTGCGTGTGCGCGTGCGTGCGCGGTCGTGTGCGCTTTCAATCTGATACGTCAACACGCGGCCAAATAATTCACAACCAACAGTATTCACATGACTGCAGGGAGCGGTTACGGCCTCCTCCTGGAAATCGAGGATCGAGGATCAGGGTGGATCGAGGGTGGTAGGCCAACGATCCAAAACTCCGGAAAAAACGGAAGCGGCAGTTTTTGTGATTGCAACTTTCGGCTGCCAGGGACCTTCGGGACCGTCGAAATATCGACTCAGGATACATACAGCCAGCCATACTCAAGAAATCGTCCAGACCGTCCACGCATCGAACAGATTGGAGCGCCGAATGCCTGGGATCGAAGGTGGTCAGGCTTTGGGCTGCGCCCCCCCCGAGCTGCCCAGGGCGGTCTCAATACCCCGACCCTGGGGCGCCGCTGGAGTTTGCGCTGGGGTGTTGAGGCCGCCCCGACTACTCGGGGGGCCTGTTGAGACCAGCCTGGACCACTTGGGGAGGCTGTCTGCGCGCAGCCCGACGCCTCACCAATGGTCGGTCGAGGAGGCGCTGGACGTCTTGGAGCGCCTCTGAGAGTCCTGGGGGGGCTCTGTCGGCTGTCGGTTCACGACGCGTCGTGCGCGCGACGTGCGGCGCTGGGCCCAGCGCGGTGGAGCCTCGCATTGCTGAACTCTCTCGGTTGACTCTTGACTCGGCAGGCGGGTCGGGCACGTGCCGTCGTGGGGAGGCTTCGCATGATGATGCTGATGATGATGGTGGGGCAATGCTGTTGTTGATGATGAAGGTGATAGTGGTGGTGGTGGCGGTGATTGTGATGGTTATGATGATGATGGTGATGGCGATGATGATGATGACGATGATGATGATGATGATGATGCTGCTGCTGATGCTGATGCTGATGCTGATGCTGATGCTGATGCTGAGGATGACGACGATGTTGCTGATGATGTTGATGCTGATGATGCTGTTGATGATAATGGTGATACTAATGATAACGGTTATGATTATGATGATGATGTTGATGATGATGATGATGGCGTTGATTCAGATGATCATGATGGTGATGATGATGCTGATGATGATGACGATGGTGGTGATAGTGATGGTGACGCTGATGATGATGATGATGATGGTGATCATGATGACGATGATGACGATGAGTTTGATGCATGTGATGCTGCTGATGATGATGTCGGTGACCATTTCGAGGATGATCACGATGATAATGGTTAATACCATGATGACGATGATAACTATGAGAATGGTGGTTGTGGTGGTGATGGTGATGATGGTGATCCTGGTGGCAGTGGTGGTGGTGGTGATGATGATGATGGTGATGATGATGATGATGCTGATGATGATGATGATGATGATGATGATGATGATGATGATGATGATGATGATGATGATGATGATGATGATGATGATGATGTGGAAGAGGAGGAGGAGGAGGAGGAGGAGGAGGAGGGGGATGAGGTTGCTGGGGAGAGAGAAGGGGGCGATGTGGAGGGCGAGGAGAGGCAGGGGGATGGGTCAGGGAGAGTTCTCCGCCTCCTGCATCTCTGCTCCCTCCTGGCTCCCGGTACCGTGCGGAGGCCGTGGTCGACAAAAGTTCGAGGAGCATCGTCGGAGGCAGAGGACCTCCAAGGATTTGTGTTGAGGGACCTCTGACAGGACACGGAGCAGGAGAGACACGTGTCCCTGATTTACGCCGATGTGATTTTGTCAATGCGCGGCCCCAGAGGTCTCGACCACATCCCCAGGGCCAGTTTTGCGCCCTGAACCCAGTTTGGGTGGTCCCAGGAGCGCCGAAATTTGGGGGAGACGCTCGGATTGAAGAAATCAATATCGTCTGAGACCTGGGCATCATAGCCTGCTGCCTGTTCTCAACCCAGCGTGCGCTCATGAGCTGACAACTGGCGCCCAGATTTATCCGACGCCCAGACTCATCGGGGTAATTTGTGGGGGGCTATAGTTGTGTGCCTGTCGGATGGGGGGGTCCGCTCGAACGGGAGCCCCCCTCGTGCTTCGACAACTCACACCTACACGTATCGCGCCTTCATCCCCTTGTCCTTCCTGATTCCTCCTCCCTATAGGTCTGAGAGCGTGCTGTTCTTTCACCATGCGCTGCATTCTGCGTGCGAGCCCTCCTCTCGCAGTTCGAGACGTACGAGGGCGGCAAGCACTGGCCCGTGACGCCCGAGCTGAAGGACGCGGGATGCGCGTGCCTCGCGCCGAGGGATGTGGGCTACAGACGTGGATGGAATCACACCCCATGGTTCATTTCGATCCGATCGATCCGATTCGGTGTCAAGTCCGGCCGGCCCGGTCCGATTCGATTCGATTCCGATGTGCCGACGATCCGATGTTGCCCGATGTTTGCATGGCGCTATTGTGCATCATGGCGCAGCCGACCGATTCGTTCTCGATTCCGTACCGATGCAGCATGATCCGATGTTTATTTCGATTTGGTTCGATTTGCCGATTCGATGCCGACTCATCATGCCCAGATCTCCCCAGAAATCCGAGTCTCCGAAGAAAAGTGGAGCGGCTAGCGGCTGGTTTTGGGCAGTTTTTGACCTCGGGGGGCCCCGGGACCGTCAGGGAACGACTCAGGATGAGAGCCGACCTTGGGGAAACTGTCCAGACCTCCAGGGGTTCACGCCTCGAGACAAATTGGAGCGCCGGAAGTCTGGGTCCGACGGTCTCGGTTTCTCCATGCGCGCGCAGGGCTGGGATGGAGTGCCTGGCTTCTGCAGGTTACACCCGGGTGCAACACGTGAGGGGTGGGGGCTGCACGTGGGGGCCACGCACGGGGCTGCACGTAAGGGCGGGTGGTCCGCGCCGCCGCCCCCTCCCCCTCCTCCTCCTCCTCCTCCTCCTCCTCCTCCTCCCCTCCTCCTCCTCCTCTCCTCCCCCTCCCTCCCCCCCCCTCCCCCTCCTCCTCCTCCCTCCTCCTCCTCCTCCTCCTCCTCCCCCTCCGCCTCCTCCTCGTCGTCCTCCTCCTCCTCCCTCCACCTCCCTCCACCTCCTGGGCCGCAAGTGCGGGCTGCTACGTGTATTCGTCGACGACGCGTAGGAGTGACCCTTCGCCGGAGTGACCTTCGGTGCGGGCTCACTGGGGTGCCCCGGACCGCAAAGCGCAATGCGATAATATAGTGGCTGCTTGCGCCCTTGGATTTGGCCACCTTGCTCAGCTCTCCCCGAGGCTAGGATCCACTAGTGGTGTTTTGTCATTCTCTTTTTGTTGCTTTTTTGTTTTTTCTTGTTTCGTTTTTGCGGCGCGCGCTGGACTCGCGCTCCGCACTCATTGCTCATTGCCGTTTTTGTTGGATTCGGGCGCTATGGTTTTGCCCCCTCCTTCTCGAGGGGGGTGGCTGACTCGCGGGCGCGCGTATGCCCATGGTTGCGCATCTCGCCAAAATGGTTCGTGGCCATGGCGATTGCGCGGGGCGGGGCCCGGTGCATGCCCAACGGCATGCGCGTTGCATGATAGCGGCGGAGTCGTTTTAAACGTGTGACCATTATTTTGGCGTGGTTTGGAAGTGACCCGCCAACGCCTTTCCCGACATTGCAAACACTCACAGGTGGCCATTACTGCCAAACGCTCGCAAAAATGCCATACACCGCCCTGCAGGCACTCGGAGGCTTTCTCCCAGTGTCACGCCCGGGAGGCTCACATAGTGAGTCGGGCGAGTGTTTCTCAGCCATGTCATTCGCCCTCGGCATCCCTGCGCGCGCTGACAGGGGGTGCTGTCTGCAGACGACTGCCGACGGCCCATCGTCCCATCGGCCCAAATTGGATTGCCGATTAAGGAACTTGCGGGTGCTTCAACATGTACAACAGTTCAGCTGCAAAGGGGACCTTCGCCACAGACGTGCACAATATATGCATGGGCCAATGTAGGACCATGTGGGCATTAACCGGTATAGAACACGACTTTGAGCACCGGCCAGCATATGGAAATATGCATGGGCGGGTGAAGAAAAACACGCGCATGGGCCAGTGGAGAACGAGAGCGATGCACAAGCGCATCCAACATGGGGTCACGATTACTCGACCGTCAAAGTACGTGGCCTGCCTCTCTCGAGCACTGTCTTTGGGACCGGCATTGCTTCGCGGGGTTTTCGTGGGGCTTTGTTGGGCTCCCACGGGTCTCGTGGGGCTCGCTTGTCGGGCTCTCGCGGGGTTCCTGCGGGGGGGGCTGTCATGGGGTTCCCCGCAAGGGTTTCGCCGGGCGTTCCTCGGGGTTCGCTCGGTTTCGTGGGACTCACGTTGGGCTTTCGCCGGGCTCCCCCAGGGGTTCTCGCGAGAGTGGGGCTCTTGCGGGCTCGATTGGGCTCCGTCGGGCTCCTCCTCTCCCCTTGTCCCCCTCCCTCCTCCTTTCCTTGTCCTCCTCCCTCCTCTAGTCGGGCTCTGTCAGTCTTCGTCGGGTTCATCGTGTTGCCTTTTCCTTTCCCTTTTAAGCTCTGTCGGGTTCCGTCGGGCTCCGTATGGCTCCTTCCGGCTCCGTCGGGTTCCGTCGGACTCTCGAAATCCCCGTTGGGCTCTCATCGGTCGGTCTTGAAACCTTTCGGACTCTCTTGGGCAAAGTCATTCAGGGCTCGCATCAAGAAGCCCACCAGGCAACAACGAGGCTCGTCCAGGAGGCCGCCCACGAACGGCCCAGGAGCGGAATCCCGAACGCCCCCACTAAGGGACCCACTAACGACCCTGCTAACGAGCCCACCAAGGGACTCACTAACGAGCCCACTAAGGGACTCACTAACGAGCCCACTAAGGGGCCCACTAACGACCCACAAACGAGCCCACTAACGACCCACCAAGGGGCCCACCAGCGAGCCCACCGATCGAGCCCACGACAAATCTTAAGCGGGACTTCGCACTCGACTGTGGCACTCGACTTTAAGCCGAATCGGCATGGCCACGAACCCTGTGACACTCGTTAGTGGGGCGCTAGCAGGGAGTGCAGTGGGGAGCGCAGTGCGGACCCCAACGGCCCTCTGAATGCTCCGGGGCCCCTGTTGCCCTGAGGAGCCGGAGGAGCAGGAGGAGGCAGGAGGAGGTAGGAGGAGGAGGAGGAGGAGGAGGAGGAGGAGGAGGAGGAGGAGGAGGAAGAGGAGGAGGGGGGAGGAGGATGTGGAATAATAGTATGCAGGTGCCAAAGAGGATGAATGAAGGCAAGGAGGAGGAGGAGGAGGAGGAGGAGGAGGAGGAGGAGGAGGAGGAGGAGGGGGGAAGGAGGAGGCAGGAGGAGGATGCAGGGGATGGGGGCTGCAGGAGGAAACATGATAAAGTAGGAGGAGGAGGCAAGAGGGAAGACGGCTTCGGAGGGCCGGAAAAAAGGGGCTTCACAAGGTTCCCTGGGGCCCCCAGGTGGCCCCCAAGAGCACCGCAGATGTCTCCAAGAGGGGCCCAGGAATATCTACCAACCGACCCCCTTGTGGTACATAATCCCGTGGGTTTTTTTGGGGGCCTCTTGAGGCCCTCTTGGAGCCCTCTCCTGACTCTTCCTGAGGCCTCTGCCGCCGTCTTTGAGGGGCCCAAGGAGGCTCCCAGGGGGGGCCAAGAGGGCCCCGAGAGGGCCCCGGGGATGTTTCACGGCCGTGACGCATTTCTTGGGACCTCTTGGGACACTCATATGGCCCCGTTGGGGTCCTGATTTGCCCTTCTTGGGGCCATCTGGAACCCTCTTGGGGCCGTTTGGGGGTCTTGTTGTAGCCCTCCGAGGCCGTGAGAGCCCGATGAGCCCGACGAGCGAACCCCGCGAGACGCGTGAGAGCCCGACGAGCGAACCCCATGAGACCCGCGATAACCTAGCAAAACCACACGGGAATCCCGCGAGGCAGTGCTCATCCAAAAGGCAATGCCCGAGTGATGCCCTCTGCATACATGGGCGGCTGGGAAAATGTCGCCACATTCTGGATATACCTGTACACAACTGTCCTGCTACACTGGTCCGTGCATATCGTTATGTACGCCCGCCCATACATGTGTATTTCTCTATACCAGCGTACGTGGCCAAGGCCCCCCTCTGCGACCTAACGTTCTTGCAAATGTTGGAACACGCTCAGGCCCCCTCATCAGAAATTCAATATGCGTTGGGGGTCGATGGGCCTCCGGAAGCTGTCTGTGAAAAAAAAACGCCCCTTGCCAGCGCGCGCAGGGATGCCGAGGGCGACCGGCAAGGCTGAGAAACATTCGCCCGACTCACCACATGGCCCCCTGGTCGCGACGCTGGGCGGGGGCCTCCGAGTGCCTGCGGAGCAGTGCATACGGGGAAGGTTTCGGCGGGCGTTTCTGCGATTGTGTGGCCGCCTTTGGGCGCGTGCCCGCGACTGCGACCGCCCGCTGGCGGTTCGTGATCAGTTGCGGGTGCTCGTGGGCACGCGCGGAAGGTCTCTCCAACCTTTTTGGGAAGATGTGAACACGCGGGAGTTCTTTACTACTGCTTCCGCGTGCCTGTGAGCGCCCGTCGTCTCGCATGGCCGCTTGCGGGCGTCTCTCCCAGTAGCTGCGCGCTTCTGAGTCCCCTCGCGCGCCCCCGCGCGCGCTGAATGGCGTTGCTATGTTGCGAGCCGCGCAAACTGCCCCCAGCGTCAACGGAAACCCCGACCCCAGTGACAAAAATGTTTCAGAAAAAAACGCTCCTGCGACGATCCTAGACACTGGGATAGCAGACCTTGCGCCCCCCCAGCCCGCGCACTACAGGTCACTCTGACCCGGGGTTGCTCTTGCGTGCCGCCGAATTTGTTCTGCAGGCGCGTTTCCCTTGATTTGGCCCCCCAGGGGCCGCTTACGGGCCCCAGTGCCATCAACGCCGAATCTGAGTCTAAAGAATTGCCCCCTGGGGCAAGGGGCGGAGTTTCTGCGGCACGCATGAAACAGACACACATCGTCGGTTGTCTGGGTCGAATCATGTGAGATCTTTTGGTTCTCGCCAGGACCGCGAAGATAGTCGCGCTTCGCGCGTCGCAGCTTGGGTTGAGATATCCCCTTCTTCAAGAGGCCGATGCGAGGGCGCGGGGCTGCGAAGTCAGACAGTCATCGCGGGGCGCCAGAACCAATGCGAACAATATAATCTACCATTCTGGGTTCTCAGGGCGATCACCAGAGAAAAACCTTTGGCAGTCCAGCCCACTAAACTCGCCCTCTGATGCCTTCCAGTGATGGAGTCGTCCATGCGTCGTCAATCGCCCTTTCAATCTACAGCGGGCTTCAAGCAATCACCTTGCGCTCCAGGCCGCCCAGATGGGGTAGAAGTGGACGGGGTCGGTGGATTCTGCCGCATCGATGATGCCTCGGCGATTGGTCCCGATTCGGAGCCCGATGTTCTCCATCCCGACGTCGCCGACGCATCGGCGATGCGGAGCGACCTTCCGACCCCCACCCATCGGGCCCCATCTGGGTAGCCTTCAGTGGGGGCCAAAGTATAGAGAAGCCTTGGCGGGGCCACGCTCACCAGGAGATGGGCGTCCGTCCTCCGCTCTGTGCGGTCGCTCCCGGCGGCGTGCGGGAGAGAGGGGTGGCAGTAGATGGTGACGGGGGGGGCGGGTTCGGGCCGGACGAAAGGGGGGAGTGGGAAAGGGGGGGTTCGAAATCTGTTGCACGCAGCTGGTTTCGGCCCCGGGTGCCTCCCGGCGCCGGGAAGCGCCAAGAAAATCCGCCCCATGAACTGATTTTCGAACCCCCCCTTTGCTTATCCCCCCCCTTCGCCCGGTCCGAGGGGCAGCAGATGGCGAGGGGGGGGGGCGGGCAGTGGATGGTGAGGGGGGGAGGGCGGCCGGGCCCAGCAGCTTTGCACGGCGCAATCACAGCGGCCTCCCGGCGCCCGTTCCGCGGGCCCTCCTGGCTATATAGGAGGCCAGGCGGACCGGCACGGGGGCCCCGGTTGGCGACGTGCGGGCCCCGGCCAGGCCGAGGAGGGCGGCACCGTCGGGCGTCCTCCTCGTCCTCCTCCTCCTCCTCCTCGCCTCCTCCTCCTCCTCCTCCTCCTCCTCCTCCTCCCCCCCCTCCTCCTCCTCCTCCTCCTCCTCCTCCTCCTCCTTCTCCTTCTCCTTCTCCTTTTCCTCCTCCTCTTCGTCGTCCTCCTCCTCCTCCTCCTCCTCCTCCTCCAGCTGCCATCTGGGCCCAAGAGATTGTCAGGGCAGCAGACAAACGCTCACCGACATTCCACAGCATGTGGAGTCAGGAATAGCTGGACAGAGGCCCGCATGGCGGCAACGGCATGGACAGCGTCGTTGGCCCTGCTGCTATTCAACCCGCTCTCCGCGAAACCCGACAGGCAGCAGGAGATCATAGAGGAAGCGGCCAACTTCGACGTCATCATCCTCGCAGGAACTCAACGATGGCGCCGAGAACCACACCCAGAACAGCGTCGAATTCAGGGAGCCAGAGTGTATGACGCAGGCTGGAGGACGGGAACACTCACTAATCGCAGCACGGGCATGATGATAGCGCTCCAGGGCAAACTAAGAGGTGCGCAGGTGACCAGTGTTCTGGAACCTCCAGGAGAACTTTGCGGCAGAGGCCTCGCAGTGCAACTCGTACAGTACGACACCCAAATCACGATCGTCGGATACTATTGCCCGCCGCAGCCCAAGACCACAGCAGACCGCAAGCAGTACTTCGCGACGGTGGCGAGATTATTCAAATGGATGGACGAGGTAGCAACCAAACGCCCCAGGGGCAGCTTACTCTTCGTGGCAGGGGACCTCAACGACGGCATAGGCATTACGTGCAAGAACGAGCACCCGAAGAGCGACTCGCTCGGAGCGGGCAGGGCGGAAGAAAAACTACCAGGCGGAGCGGGACACAAAGCCAGACAGTACGCGGAGCGACACGGACTGACAGTCACCAACACGACGGGCTCATGGAGACCCACATACTTCGGGGAAACGACGGCCAGCTGCATTGACTACATCATGATGCCGACGACACTGGCCAACAGCATCATCTCTCAAGGACCACTCCTCCGCATGGGCACACGGCTGCAACACATTCGAAGCCGACGACATCGGGATCACGTCCCAGTGCAGCTCACAGTGCGTATTCCGCTTAGACAAAGAGTGCAAGCCCGACAACATATAGCACGATGGGATAAAGACGAACTGGCAGCGGCAGCACGCAAGGGACTACATGCAGAGTTATTCATACAGGATCTGGAAGGAAAGATAAAGAACTACAACGAGCACGGCAAAGGCATAGACCAGCTGTCCCAGGACCTGAATCAGATGATTATCGAAACGGCCCAACAGTATTATGGACAGGGACAACAGAAACCCGAAGAGTACCAGATACTAAGAGACAGACGAATGGAACTATTAAGAAAAAGAAGAGACCTTCGAGAGCTACTACGACGCGAAGGGGATTGCCTACTCATCACGATCGCAGAGACAACCAAGCTGGACACAGCCAAGGTGGACTACATCCCACGGGAAGATCCGACCGACAACCCCTACACGCAACACTCGGACCAGCCAGGAGCAGAAGACGAACAGGATCCCCGCCGCCTAAGACTGGAATACATCGAGACCGAACTCAAGAACATCACTGCTACCTGCGCAACCTGGCGCAAACTCGAGTACAAGCGGAAGACGGACGCCAGGGTGGAGGAGCTGTACGAGGCATGGGAACGACGAGATCTTGCACGCGTGGGCCGACTGTCAAGATTGATTGCTGGTGGAAGGTACGGACCACGCAAGCGCGACTACTGGACGATGGTCACGGCCAACCCCACGAAGCAAGAGTGGACCGAGTTCTGGCAGCTCCCAGGAGGATTAGGAGGCATGGAAGGCACCGAACTGAATAGAGAAGATATCGAACAGATTCCCATCGACGCGGACGAAATGGACTATTACGATAATGACATAGAAGAACTTGTGGAGAAGGATATGGAGGGCATTGCAAAACGGTTAAGGAAGGCTAAACTCCGACGTGCGGCGCCACCGTCAGCGGCCCCCAACGAGCTATGGAGAGTGCTACTTTGTCAGACAGACGAACAACCTCAACAGCAAAGACAAGGACTGGGGGCACTCCAGCCACTCCCTCAGCCAGAAAGATTTCAAGACCTCTTCAGGGCGGCACTGGCGGCCATCAGGCTCAAGAACGCAACTCCAGTACGATGGCATCAGAGCGCGGCAACGGCAGTAAAGAAGAACAACAAAGCTGGCCTTGCAGGAAAAAGGATATACCACATCATGGACCCGATTGGCAAGGCATTTTACTCGGCCTGCATGGCTCGAAAGAAGGCTCATAATCACACAGACCAGGACTACGGCTTCATCAGAGGACGACGACGCGAAGGAGCCAGATTGGCAATGGCGGTCGTCGAGTATCGGGCAAGACAGGCAGGCTTCAACTACATCACGACGATGAAGGACATGTCGAACGCCTTTGCCAGCTGCGCGTGGACGGCCATGGACGAGGCCAACAACAAGATCATGCCAGAGGACTCTACTGAGTTGGGTACGCAGCGATACCGACGAGCTACGTTTGTCATGCCATGTCGCGATCAGGAGGACGGAGTATGCATCAAACCACACTGTGGAGGACTGATTGGAGACCCGTACATGGTCAGTAACTTCGTGGCCAGCTTCTCGGCGTGCATCAAGGACTGGATTGAGGACTGCAACAAAGAGTTAAAGAACGATGATCTGTTGTATGGGAGCTGTGAGATTTTTCAACATCCAGTTTACTTGGGCCTGGCTAAATATGCGGACGACCTTCGCAAGATCATCCTAGGCGACAAGCACGCAGACGCGGCAGATCTGGCAGCGCAGGCACACAAAGTGGGCAACGCGCTCAACCAGAGGCTTGACGCGATCGGGATGCGCCAGAACACAGACAAGCAGGAGAACATCGTCTACTTCCAAGGACAAGGAACGGCCAAAGCACACCAGCAGCTCAAGACGAAGCCCGATTGCAAGCTACCTGGCAAAGTTGTTCCTCATGCACGATATCTTGGACCGCAGATCAGCCCGACACAGAACTACGGGGCAGAACTCAACAAACGCATCGCGGCCATGAAAAAGAGTTACAACGAATGTGGCAGCTTCTGGACTAAAGGGCATATACCATACAGGTGGAAGCGCGCGGTACTCATCTGCAGGGTGATCAACACAGGCCTCTCGTGCATTGAACGCTTCTTGCCGACGCCCAGGGAATGCCAGCAGCTACAGAGCGCTATGGGCGCACTACTTCGGCGAGCCATGCGAGGAGGCGCCACGCGTCACAGAGACGGCAGCGTGCGGAGCCTTAGCACGCTGGAAGTATTTCGCTACTGGCAAATATTGCCGCCAGCGGAGGAAGCACTGGTGCGCCGACTCGGGTGGTTCAAAAACATCCTTCGCTTCCCCAGCAATCACAGGCAGTTGATCGTAGCACTCTCCGGGGGGGTCGAGTTCGAGACAAACGAAGTCGAGGACAAACTCAGGACCGACGCGAATCCCTGGGCTCAGAGGTCCTTGGAGGACGTCAGATACGTGCGTGGGGTCTCGGAGAGCTACTACAACACGCTAGGCGAGGGCGAGAACATCACGATAGATAGGCTCTTCACTCTAGACGTTAGGGGACAACTATATCTACTTGATGTTCGGGAAGTTCGGGCAGCAAAACTCGGAGTGGCGGTCCCCCCACCAGGCTACGCGCAGCAGGACGTACAAAGAGAAGAGCTAGCACTAGAAGAACAGAAGCCATGGAAACGTGAAATTAAACACGGAGAAGAGGAATGTGGCGTATTATTCGCAAGCAAGAAAGCACTGCACAGCCATATTATTCGTGCACATAATGTACACAACCTAGCAGCGGTGATGACATCAAACAACGAGTGCCTGAACTGCCAGCAAGTATTTACAAGCAAAGGTACGGTATGGAAACATTTGGCAAGCAGTATGATCAAAGGGGGATGCAACAGAGACAGAACAAATAATCAATCTGTTCCGACGGCACATTCTCCGCAATGCCCTCTCTGTAGTCATTTCTCTCTCGACAAGGGTGCGCAATTCGTTCACTTACGTGCGCATCTCCCGCGACGGCTCCTTCAGCCGCCAAGAGGTATACCTCGTGTCCCTGTTCGACCAGAGGCCACTGGGCCAGGCTCCGCCAGGCCCAACAGGAGGACGCAGTCCGACGAGAAGATCGCAGCCGACAACGAGGACCAGTGCTACGCGGACCAGCGGTCGGACGCGGAGGCAACCAACAACAGATCACGGAGCTCACGGCGAGGCTCACGCTCACGGTGGCACGGGAGCAAGCGGAAATGGCGGCGGCACCCATACAAACTTGGGAAATCGCCACGACGACGGGTATCGCTACCACGGCCCTCGGAGCGGGCAAACACTACAACGACGAAGCGCAGCAGCTCCACCAGAGACAACGAGGCGGAGAACAAGTCGACCTAGGCAGCCTGGGCAGCCCGCGCGTGAAGGTGTGGACGGAGACGTGCGCGTACCTGGGCAGGCAACTCGATGAGGGCGGACAGCTCAACGAGGTGAAGAGCCACTACGAGAACATCATTATGAAGAACGACACGGAGGCCCTCGCGGACATAGTACCAGTGTTCAGGGTCAGGCGCAACAAGGGCAAAGAGGGCGGCGGGGTCGAGAAGTGCCGATTCCAGTTCAAGTTCGGAGAGAGCAACCACCAGCTGTGCACGGTGCTGGTCAACCAGCTCAAGACGGAGGGCGCCACTCGCAAGATCGGGTCGGCACCGCTGGGGCGCCTTGGAGAGGGAGCTTGGCCGCCTAGTGAATGGATAGCCACGATAGAGGACGAGAACCGAGAGGATACGACCTCTCGAGATCGACACCTGAGAGATGATGAGGAGGAAACCAGTGTTCGAATTCGCCCAGTCCTCCCCCCGCAGCTTCCCCAGACCATCCCACGAGTTTTTGAGAATAGCGCTAGGTTTCGTGAGATAGTTCGGTCTGGACGTCTCCCACCTCCTCCTCCTCAGAATGCTGTGCCCGAGATCTTCCAATTCGATGGCCCACGTTTTCCTCAGCATTTACTAATGCACCGACCTCCCCCCACTCCCGAACCGAAGCGTAAGGGACGAGGTAAGGGTAAGCGGAGCCAGCGAAGCCAACAGCAGCAGCAGAGCGAACGACCTCCGTGAATGCGGGTGCTACCCTGCCCGCAGACCCCTGCGTGGGGGAGGTCGGTGCAGGTCGGGCCCGAGCGTCCACTGACGTCAGCTCTACCAGTATACTCAGAGCTAGGCCGTGCTTAGATTACGCAGCTACTCAGAGCTAGCCAGAGCGTCAGTCACCCAGACATCGGCCCGACAGCTCGATCGATCGATCCTCCTCCTCCTCCTCCTCCTCCTCCTCCTCCTCCTCCTCCTCCTCCTCCTCCTCCTCCTCCTCCTTCCGCGGGGCCAGACACGACCTGGAATTGCAGGGGGGCTTGAACAAGGGCGGTCCCGGGGGTAAATTTGAGTGGGGCTTGCCCCTCTATAGGAGGGGGATTCAACAGTAGTTTAAAAAATAGTTCAGGGGACGATTTCTTTCGTATTTTTCACCACCTTTGAGTATTTTTGGGGGTATGTTTTATTTTTCGTCCAAAATCCGCCTGTCGGGGGACATGCCCGACCTAAGGGAAATATCACAGCAGGCGGAGGAACAAGTGACAACATTGCGGACGCCCTCGAGGCGAGGTCTGGCCAAGGAAAGGGGAAAAACGCGAGAAGGGAGGGGAGCGCAACATGCCGTCGAGAGGCTCTGGACCGAGGTGAGCGCTCCGTATCACGCCTGTAAAGCAGAGGGGGCGCTGCTGCACACTAAAACTGCGAGCCCGCGAGAGGGATACCCCCGTCGACAGGGAAAAAGCAGAAGGACCTCCCCGTGGTGGCGAGGTCACAACGGCGAGCCTCACGATTGTGAGGCGCGGGGAGCTGGTGACTCGGCGAGCCGCCGTCGAGACAGTGGGAGAAAACCCGCCACCCGACCAGGGGCCAAAGTCTTTTCTCTCTCGCTCGCCGAAGCTGGACAACGAGACAGCCAAAGCAGGACAAAAGCGGAACATGTCTGCTGGAGAGTACCACTGGGCTCGACACGACCGACCGCGCCACGACTGTGAAGCAAATGCACAGAAACCGATGGACCCGCTCAGGGTCGCATCACGAATGTGAAGCATGAGCCGGAGGTAGCACGGACGGGTCAGAGAACGCGGCGCGGCAAGCGAAGAGGGGTGCAGAAAAACGATCACGGAAGGAAAGGGCCCTGAACGGCCTCCAGACTGCCACCACGGGCCCCAAATGTGCCTGAAACGTGCGCGTTCCTTCGCCCACGCGTTTATTTCCCGACCACCTCTCGTTAGCCAGCCCGAGTACTTTCTTGACGCACCGTCCCCCTCCACCACCCAACTCGAGAGGCCGTTGCAGGGCGAGGGGGGGCTTGAATTGGTTCGCAGGCGAGAGGACATCCGTAAAAAGCGGGTGCCACCCTGCGCGCAGACACCTGCGCGGGGGAGGACGGTGCAGGTAGGGCCTCGTCGCCGAATCGAGCCCGCGACGCCCTTTCAGTGAAGAGAACAGCCAGGCCAAACCAGATTCCTCGCGCTCTGCGGGGTGCACGCCCAGGGCACGTGAAGACGGCGTTGGGTGGTTTGCCGTGCTCGTCTGCCGCGCTATTCTGCCGCGTCGTTCTGCCCGCCCCGGGGCGCTGCCAGCGCCACGGGGAGCGGATGTGCCCCCCCTTCTCTTTCCGGCTCAGCGTCGGGACGAGCGTGCGATGTCTTCGAGGGTAATGAACATTCACCGCGCGTCAGCACACGGTGAAGCTAAGTTCAAGTTCGGATGAGCATAGCAACACCGCGCCATTTGTGTACAATTCCGCGGGCCTCTTGGTGGTCTCTTTGGGCCATTTGGGGGCTTCTTGGGGCCCTCTTAGATTTTCTCTTTGGGAGCTCGTGGGGGGCCTCTCGGGGACCTCTCGGAAGCAGTTTCGAAGCCTCTTGGGAGCCGTTATGTGGTCTCTCTTGGGCCTTTTGGGAGACTCTTGGGGCCCCTTGGGGGCCTCTTGGGGGCCGCCTGGGGCCTCTTGGGCGGCTCTTGGGGCATCCTGAGGGCCTCGTGGGGCGGAAGGCTCGGATTGTCGGTTCGTGCTCCCTCTCTTGGGCCCTTTGTGGGGCCGTCAAGGGGCCCTCTTGGGCCGTCTTGGGCGCCTCTGGGACCGTCTTAGGGCGCTCCTCGGCCGTCTTGGGGCCCTCTTGGAGGCCCTCTTGGGGCCTTCTTGGAAGGCCTCTTGGAGGCCTCTTGAGGCGTCTTTTGGCCTCTTGGAACGATCGTTCGGCGACTTGGGGCCCTCTTGGACTCATGGAAGGGTTTGGGAGGTCGCTTTGCGGGGCACAGCGTCCACTGGAGGCACTGGAAACACTTCAGAACTCATGGGAGCCAGCCTTGGAAACCCCAGGAAGACTTGGGACACAATTGGTCCAGGCTCTTTTTACAACTGGTGACGATTCGCGTATCCCCACCAGCCCATGCAGGAACCATGCCCAAGGGAATTGAGGTGCTTAGGGAAGCGGGGGACCAGGGCGGGGGAAGCGGTCATATACCCCAAGAGAAGGAGGATAGAGGAGGAATCGTCGTCGTTGGAGGAGGAGGAGGAGTTGCGCGGCACCTAACCAACTCTCGCAGTAATGGGAAGGGCGCCCGGTGCGCGCGGCACCTAACCAACTCTCGCAGTACCCATGCTGTCCTCCTCCTCCTCCTCCTCCTCCTCCTCTTCCTCCTCCTCCTCCTCCCCCTCCTCCTCCTCCTCTTTTTAATTCAGTGCCTCGCTGCTGCCTTCGTGCTTCGGTGCCGTCGGGAAGAAGAAGAAGGAGGAGGAGGAGGAGGAGGAGGAGGGAGGAGGAGTAGGAGGAGGAGAAGGAGGGGGACGAGGAGGACCAACCAGGAACCATGAGGACCCCATGCTCACCCCCCCAACCATCCCTGTCAAAAAACAAAACAAAACGCACTATGCCTCCACATTTGGAGCATGCGCGGCCATCCCTGTCAAAAGCAATGCAAACTACACTTTGGGGCAAAGTCTTGAGTCATGTCCGTCAGGGCCCGCGAGCACGGTGTATTGTTTTTGACAGGGACGGCGGGGGTGTTGGTATATTCCCTGCTGCGCGCAGGGCTACCATCCCTAACAAAAGATAAAACAGCATTAACCTCGCTGCTAAATCTGGATCATGCGCGGCCACCCGGAGATCACTGTCAAGTGATTATTGATAAGGACGGCGGGGGCGGGGGCGTATGGCCTGCCGTGCGCAGGCTCACCAGACACAATGATAGGCATTGGTTTTCGACACGGATGCTGGGGGCCGGAATGATTGTCCGATGTGTGATGCCACGTGCGCAGGCGCACCCGACACACTCTGCACGTGCCCCACACGTGGCGCACTTGGCGCGGCTGGAGTGTGCGGCACGTCTGGCGCACGCAGAGCACGTGGCGCATCTGGCGCACCACGCGTGCCTGGCACGCTCGGGCCCCAGGGGTGCCTGGCGCGCCTGGCGCGCGTGGCGCACCTCGCCCCGGCGTCGCGCACACGGGGTCGGCTTTGGTTCCCAGCAGTTGCCCATCCAAATGCGACCGCTGAGCATGCTCAGGCTCGGGTGTTACTTTTGAGTGTTGGGAGGGCGGGTGGGAATAAGCTATACTCCAAATCCCTTATCAATCGTCCCCCCGGCCCAGTGTTTTGAGGCGCCTTTTTTGTATCCGGGGGGGTCAGTCCGGCCTATCAAGCCGCCCCATCGAAGAGGGGGGTTTGGAATCTTAGGTCGCATTTGGAGGGGGGTCCGGTTCTTTAGGGGGGGGTCGATTAATAAGGGAGGTGGAGTAGGCGGCTTGCTATCTAGGGTGTGCCTTGATCGCTGTTCCCTATTAATAAACACCCCCTCCCCCAGGCGACTGGGGGCCAACCAGGGTCCATGCCAACCCCCCCCCACCATCCCTTGTAAAAACATGTACAAACACACACTCTGCCTCCAAATTCGGAACATGCGCAGCCAACCCGATGCGGCCCCCCCCCACCATCCCTTTCAAAAAACCATACAGAGTACACTTGGCGGCGGCGGCGGCTGCGGCGGCTGCGGCGGCGGTGGCGGCGGCTGCGGCGGCTGCGGCGGCGGCGGCGGCGGCGGGCGGCGGCGGCGGCGGGGCGGCGGCGGGCGGCGGCGGCGGGCGGCGGCGCGCGGCGGTGGCGGTGGCGGCGGCTGCGCGGCGGCGGCGGTTTGGCATCGGGGGGGCGGCGGCGGCGGCTGCAGGCGGCAGGCGGCAGGCGGCAGCTGGCGGGCGGCGGCGCGCGGCGGCGGCGGGCGGCGGCGGCGGCTGCGGCGGCTGCGGCGGCGGTGGCGGCGGCTGCGGCGGCGCGGCGGCGGCGCGGCGGGGGGCGGCGGCGGCGGCGGGGGCGGCGGCGGCGGCGGCGGCGGCGGCGTTGCGGCGGCGGCGGCGGGCGGTGGCGGTGGCGGCAGCGGCTGCGGCGGCGGCGGCGGTTTGGCATCGGGGGGGCGGCGGCGGCGGCGCGCGGCGGCGGCAGGCGGCAGCTGCGGCAGCTGCGGCGGGCGGGCGGCGTCGGCGGCGGCGGCGGCGGCGGCGGCGGCTGCGGCGCTGGCGGCGGCGGCGGCGGCGGCGGATTGGCCCCCATTAGCTGCCCATCCCCAGACGACTGCTGAATATGCTGAGGCTCGGGCCAGAGTCGGGTGCTACGTATGTGTTGGGAGGGCGGGTGGGAGTGAGCGGGACGGCTTGCGGGCGGGGAGGGGGTCTTGACCCCTCTCCCTTACCGCCTCCCCCTGGACCTGGACGGGGCGAGCCGCGAGGCGTCGGAGGACACCTTTTCGCACAGGATGGCTCCAAGAGCGCCTCGGCGCGCCCGAGATGACCACCAAGATGGATCGAGATAGCCCAAGATGCCCCTAGATGGCTCACAAGATGCCCCAAGGAGCCCCAACAAGACCGCCCCAGGACATCTCCAAGAGGTCTCCGAGATCCCCAAGGAGGCACCCACGAAGCCAGCATCTTTCAAACACCAATGGAAAATCAATAATGTTTGCATCGTCGCCCGCTCGCTGTCGATAGCCTTCCGAGGCCTCAAGGTGGCCCCAAGATGGCCTAAGAGGGCCCCGAGAGAGGCCCAAAATAGCCCCACAACGGCCCAACCAACGCACAAGAGCGCTCTCAGAGCGCCCTGAGATCGCCCAGGTAGACGATGCTTGGGGCCCCCGAGCGGGGGGGAGCGAATGAGAGCTTTCCCTTGTTTGGTCGATCTCCTCCAAGATGGCCCCAAGAGCGCCCTTAACATCCCCAAGAGCGCCCCAAGAGGCGCCCAGGCGGCTCCAAGAGTCGAGGCCTCTAAGAGGTTCCCAAGAGACCCCCAAGAGGCTTCAAGAATATCCCCGAAGCATCCAAGCCGCTCAAAGACTGCCCTGGGCCCGCCAAGATACTCCCCAGACGCTTCAAGAGGCATACTAAAAGTTTCCCAGAGACATTCGAGGAGACTCCGAGGGCACTCACGAGGCTCATGGCTCTGCTGTTCGCCTTCCTCTTTCTCTTCCTCATCCGTATATCCCTCCTCTCTCCTCCCTCTTCTTCCTCCCCCTCCTCCTCCTCCTTCTCGTCATCCTCGTCCGAAGAGAAAGTTCCCTAGCCCACATACGCCCTAAAGGGTTGGTGGGATTCGCTGCAGAAGCATCGCAGCGTCTACCTCTCAGTGCTTCATGAGCCTTGGGGCGCGGTGGCGGATATTTGAATATCAGTACGCGTTTCGCCCCCCTGCCGCCGTCCCCCTCTTTTCGGACAGTGGGGTATGCAAGAGCTATGTTGAGGCCTGGGCGCCGTCGTGAAGCAGCGTCGGAACTCCGAAACGGTGCCACTGGAGATGTAAGCGTGCCAACTTCCATCAACAGCCTAAGGAAAATCGCAGATGTTGGACTCTTAGGGTCCTCCTGGGTCGTCTTGGGACCATCGGAGCACTGTTGGGCCGTCTCGACTTACTCACGATGGTTGTTGATTTCTGGGACGCGAAGGACGCGCGATTTACTTCGGAGTGTGGCTTCGGGGACGTAAAAAATATCCCGGCAAAGCAACCTAACAGCGATGTGTAGAAGCATATCTGAAAGCATTTCCCTTAAGATTCAGATGAAAATCCAGTTGTAGAATTCTGCTGTTCTCGCAGTCGTAGTCGCATTCGCGATGACAGTCGCAGCGGCAACGGCAGTCGCAGTCACAGCCTCAGCCTCAGCCTGCCTCAGCCTCAGCCTCAGCCTGCCTCAGCCTCAGCCTGCCTCAGCCTCAGCCTCAGCCTGCTTCAGCCTCAGCCTCAGTCTGCCTTCAGCCTCGGCCTCAGCCTCAGCCTGCCTCAGCCTCAGCCTGCATCAGCCTCAGCCTCAGCCTCAGCCTGCCTCAGCATCAGCCTGCTTCAGCCTCAGCCTCAGCCTGCCTCAGCCTCAGCCTCAGTCTGCTTCAGCCTCAGCCTCAGTCTGCCTTCAGCCTCGGCCTCAGCCTCAGCCTGCCTCAGCCTCAGCCTGCCTCGGCCGCAGCATCAGCCTGCCTCAGCATTCAAAATGTGGCCCAGGAATGGAGTTCTGGGAACTAGAAGAACACGAAGTGGCCTACAGTTGGCTCCGGGCATTCAAAATCATGCCCAGGAATGGAGTTCTGGGAACTTCGAAGAGTTGGCTCCGGGCACGGGAATGGAGTTCTGGGTCGAAGAGCCTACAGTTGGCTCCGGGCATCCAAAATGTGGCCCGGGAATGGAGTTCTGGGAAGTCGAAGAGCACGAAGTGGCCTACAGTTGGCTCCGGGCATCCAAAATGTGGCCCGGGAATGGAGTTCTGGGAGCACCAAGAGCGATTTTGCGAGGATGTCCCAAGCGATTTCGGCTTCGGCGGCAGCCTCCCCGGGTCCCGCCCAGACCCCCCTGAGGAGTCATGATGCTCTCTTTTGAGACCACTAGAAACCTATCAGCAAGAGCTGTTAGGTAATTAGGTAATTATAAAAGTGACTAGGAATTACGCTCTCGGGAGCGCGAGCACAGCGTAATTTGCAATGGTGCACGGCCTCGGGGACGCGAGCATCATATAACTTACGAAAGATTCTGGCTTCGGGGGCGTGAGTATGGTGTAAAATAGGATTACAATATGGGAGATTTGAAACTGGAGCTGAAACGGAAAGCCGCAAGCCTAATCCGCTGAGCCTCGTGGCCCCACAAGGAGGCCAGCGGACTCTAACATAATTGCGATGACCGTCCTAGAAGGGGAAGGCGGGTGATTGAAAGAGCAAACGTCCCAAACCAATTAACCAGAGAGGGCTGGTGGGACTCGCCGTCAGCACGCGCCCTCTTTTGACATCAGCCATTTTGGCCCAGAGCGTTGCGCGCGCTGCAGATCGCGGCTGCCCGAGATGCAGAGCCCGCTCTCGAACACCTGCTCGCCCCTGGCCACCCGATGCGCGCTGCCGCCGGGCTCCTGTGCCGCGCCCTCGGTTCGTCGGATCTGCTCGGCGGCAACGAAGAGGGGCGAGTGGTCGGCTCACTGCGGGGCAGCACGCGCATTCGCCCAGGAGTCTCGTCGAATGCATGGATCTGCCCACCCTGCGCCGTCGAAGGTCGTCAGTATCGGGCGTTGCGTAAGCGGATGCTGGTGATAAGAATCCCTTGGGGATAAAACAGTTTGGGGTCCAGGCGGGGTAGTACATGTATATATGTATGTATCTTCCCCAGATATATTGATGTTCGGATGTCTGGATCGGTCTTTCAGATCGGTCTTCAAGAGCATCGATGACCCTTTTAGTTGTGGAGCACGATGGTGAAGATGAAGAGCCAGATCAAAGCTACAGTAGGAGCTTCGGATGGGATGGTAAAGTTTGGCCTCCCTGCCTGTGATGGCAATTTGAAACCGCATTCAATCCCGTGGAGCAAGAGGTATCCGCGGGTTGCGGTTAATGGGCGGGCGGTAAGTGGGAGGTGAAACAAGGTGTGTTTTTTTGTGCCCTAACGGACCCTCTTGTGGACCAAAAGTGCACGTTTCTCCCACCCCATGTATCGCCTTTCCAACAAGCAACGCCCGACTGTATTTTCATGGTGGCGATCGAGTACGGTAGGTTCGTGTCGTGTCGACGCGGCGGTGACCCCAACGCGAACGCTCAAGATTGGGCGCCGCCAGTCGCTTGGGACCAGCCGACATCGAACGATCTGCGCAGCCGGAGCGCCACGATCGCTGAAGGTTGGCCGATCCACGCGGTGTGAGAAACCAGCGCGACGACGTTACGACACGACTTTGCCGTGCTTTCAGGTTGCACAGACAGCTCCCCCAGATAGTCCCAGCTGGCCTCGACAGGCCCCCCGAATAGTCCAAGCTGGCCCCAACAGTCCACCCCAGCAGCCTGGGGCGGTCTCAACACCTTGGCGCTGCTTGCAGCGGCGCCCCTGGGCGCTCCGCGCCACAGAGTTGAAGCTATGAGACCGCCCCATACTACTGGGGCGGCCTGTCGAGGCCAGCTGGGCCTAGTCGAAGGAAGTGCCTCTCGAGGCCATCCAGGAATAACAGGGCGCTGTCTGTGAGCAACCCAAGGCCTTACCAGTGGCGATCCGCAACGCGTGCTTGATGCGTCCAATTGGTCGGTCTGCTCCAGCGGCCAAGACGCTGAAATATGGACCACTTTTGGGTTCAGGACATGTTGTTGCTATTTCTGGCGCTCTTTCAACAGTTCTGAGGCAGGGGAGCCTATCCGCTACTGAGGCTCGCGGGGGACAGAACAACTCGTTCGTTCCGTGTTCGTTGGTCGTTTCCCGTGGTAGTAGCCTTATTTTCTATGAGTTTCTCCTTATAGGACTCGACATGAGCATAATTTCTCGGAGCTCCGCGCGGATTTCTTGGATCGGCGCTTGGCACCGCCGGCGCCCCGGGCGCCGTACTTGGCGCGCTCCGCGCGCCAGAGCGGTCCAGCGCCGATCCAAGACATCCGCGCGGACCTCCCAGAAGTTATGCTAGTTCAGCTCTTTGCTGTTCCCCTGTGTACGGGATCATCGTTCAGGCTTGCCAGAGGCACTCGGGCTGTGTCCTGCAGCGGGTCCTGTGGCCGTTCCAGGCTTCAGATCAATGTCCAGGCCCGCGACCCGCTGGCTGCAATTACCTTGGGCGTGCCTGAGGCTCGCCGTTGCCAGGCTGCCTCGCTGTATCCGCGGCCTCGCGGGCCGGGCCCCTGGGCCGCGACCCCGCAGATACGGATGCCCTGCGCGGGAAGCATCCGTGCGACCGTCTTCGATTTCTTGGTTGCGGCCAAATGCTTGGGTTATCACGACCACGGTCAAGTTAATGATGATTATTATGATGGATTGTAGGGCTGAAGAAGGAGTACATAGCGAGGGAGAGATAGAGAGAGAGCGAGAGAGAAACAAGCAATTACGCTACCGAGGAACCCCACATACTTTCTTTTAAATCTTGTGTGCGCCACACTACCACTACCACCTCCACCACCACTAGCCAGACGAGCCAGCCAGCCCAACCAACGGGACCAACCAGATCAACCAGACTAGACCACAGACTCTGAACGACTGTACTCGTCGTCGTCCTCGTCGTCGTCGTATTCGTCGTACTCGTCGTCGTACCTCGTCGTCGTACCTGTCGTCGTATTCGTCGTCGTCCTCGTCGTCGCACTTGTCGTCGACTCGTCGTCGTCGTCGTCGTCGTCGTCGTCGTAGTCGAAGACTCCAGCACTGTTTGCACGAATTCGTTGTCGTCGTCGTTGTCATCCTTGTCGTACTCGTCCCTCTCGGCGTCGTACTCGTCGTGCTCGTCGTCTTCGTACTCGTCGTCGTATTGGTGATCGTATGTTTCGTCGTACTTGCCGTAGTGAACCACGCAGTTGACGCTGCGGCTACCCTCGCGCGGGGGCAAGGAGGATGAGCAGGAGTGCGAACGTGAGTGGAAAGGACCGGAACAGAGGAGGGAGGAAAAACGTTTGAATTGTTCTCTTCGTTCTCAGCTGGGTCCGCGCTAATGCGTGCGCACTGCGGTAGCCTAGTCATCTCTTCGACGGAAAGTCTCCGAGCTGCGCGTGCAAGCCAATGGGGCTGCAAACGTGCAGCCTCGCGCACTCGCCAAGCTTTCGCTGGCGGGCCGCTGTCGTGTTCCCCATACTGCTCCCTCTGATCTAAAAGCGCCTCCTGGGGGAATCCGCCCGACGCAGGGTTCCGCAGGTACGCCATTCTGCCTCCTGCCGTCGTCGCTCATGTCGGAGTACTTCGCGTAGAGCGTACCAAACCACCAATTGCTAAGCTGGCGGCGGTACGCATTAAATGCGTACAGCACCACCCCGTTGGCACATCTGCGCGAGTTCTCCACGCTGACCTCGCCACCCATCTGAGTCATTGCGTTCTTGATCGCCAAACACGGAGGTGGCAGGGCGTCCATGCAATTGTGGGCGGCATGTCTGCCACGCGCAGGTAACGCGTTTGTTGCCCTCAAACGGGATAACAGGCGAGACTGCCTGAAACCACACGCGCGCCGAGCCGGCTCGAGCCACTTCTGGATAACATGCGGGCTCGCCGGTCGCATTTTGCGAACCCGAAACGGACAGCCCTCCCACCACCAGCGCAGCCCCCTGTTGTGTCGAGGAAGTCCCACGCTTGCCACGCTTTGCGAGCCCGAAGCGGATAGCGCTCCCGCCCCTAGCTCACCCCCTATGGTGCCGAGGATGTGCCACGCCTGCCACGCTTTGCGAAGCCAAAACGGATAGCGCTCCCATCCCCAGCGCATCCCCTGCGGTGTCGAGGAAGTGCCACGCCTGCCACGCTGTGCGAGCCCGAAACGGATAGCGCTCCCACCCCCAGCGCGCCCCCTGTGGCGTCGAGGAAGAGTCGCGCCTGCCACGCTTTGCGAGCCCGACCCGGACAGCGCTCCCTCCCCCAGCGCAGTCCCTTGTTGCGTCGAGGATGTGCCGCGCTGCCACGCCTTGCGAACCCGAAGCGGATAGCGCTCCCACCCACAGCGCACCTTTTGTGGCGTCGAGGAAATGTCACGCCTGTCGCGCTGTGCGAGCCCGAAACGGAGAGCGTTCCCACCGACAACGCGCCCCGTGTGGTGTCGAGGAACTGCCGCGCCTGCGACGCTTTGCGAACCCGAAACGGATAACACTCGCACCCGTAGCGCACCCCTTGTGGTGTCGAGAAAACGCCAAGCTTGCCACGCTCTCAGGCCCTGGCACGCACAGACGCATAGAAGCCGCACTGAAAGACCACCCCCTGCGCATCCCACCCCCTGCGCACCCCCTCGGGTGTCGAGGAAAAGTCGCGCCTGCCACGCTGTGCGAACCCGGAACGGATGGGGAAACCACCTCATTGCACCCCCCTCATGGTGTTCATGTGTTGTGTGGTCTGCGTGTCATGTGTATGGTGTGTGTGTGTGCGGCTGTATGTGGATGAGGAGACGGGAGCGAGATGCTGTGTGTTAGGTGGTGAGGAAGGTGAGGTGTGTGTGTGTGTGTATGCGCGCGGGGGCGTCGCGGATGGGACGCGGGAGGGAAAAAACTCAAATCCCCACCAAGCATGTGGATAAACATATATCTATATATATATATATATATATATGTATATATATGTATATATATAGAGAGAACAACAGACATACACACATATATATGTATAACCATATATATAGGTGGAGTGTTTCTATGTGTTAGCAACGGCAAGTTTGAGATGTAAGGCTGTCGCATTGGGCGTTACGCGACCGAGTCGCCCGAGGCACCCTTGTGAAACGCAACGGTTTACATGACACGTTTCGATCTCAAGTCTGGGCGTGCGCAGTGCCATCCCTTTTTGATCGCGTTCCCTCGCTCAAGCTGTGTGAGAACGGTCGCTCATGACCCAACCTGGGCGGGGTCGAAGAACTTGCTCATGACCCCGCCCAGGTAGAGTCAAACAGCTCGCTCGTGAGACCGCCCAGACGGGGTCCAAATGCTCGTTCATGGGCCCACCCGGGTGGGGTCCACATGTTCGTTCATGATCCCAACATGTTTGCACCCCGCCCTTGCGGGGTCAACATGCTCGCTCATGGCTCCGCCCAGGGCGGGCCGAATGCTCGCTCATGGGCCCGCCCGGGTGAAGTCAAAATGCTTGCTCATGTCCCCCCCAAGTGGGGTCAACATGCATGCTCATGGCCCCGCCCGGGCGGTTTCAAAATGTTCGTTGATGATCTCACCCAAGCGGGGTCATGAGCAAGACCGTTGGACCCGACTCCTGGCAGGCCCATGCGCATGCAACTTTTGAGCCTAATTGGCGGGTTCACGAGAAAGCATTTTGACCCCACCCTGGCGGGGCCATGAGCGAGCATCTTAACCCCACCCAAGCGGGTGATGAGCGAGCATGTTGACCCCATAAGGGCGTGGCCATGAGCGAGCATGTTGGACCCCACTCCGGCGGAGCATGAGCGAAGTCTCTGACCCCGCTGGGGTGGGGTCGCAAATATTTGTTCTGAGGCGTGGTGCGCCTGGGAGGCGTGGGCCCACAGGTTTTTTTAGTGAATTCGGCTGACGCCCTGCAACTGAGCTACGGAGGTTGTGCTGCCTATTGTTCCCGCTGCCCCCCCCCATCCCCACAGGCTGCGCCCAGACTCGCACAGACACAAACAGACACACCCAATGACACACAGACGCGCACAGGCAGACGCAGACGGGCAGACGCACAGCATCAGCACGCACGCACACGCAGAACCACACCGACACACACAGAAACACACATAACCACATGCGCACACGCTCAAACCAACACTCACCGAGGCACGCAGAACACAAATAACTACACAAACACGCACACCCGCACACCCGCACACCCGCACACACACACACACACACACACGCACACACGCACACACCCGCACACACGCACACACGCACACGCACACGCACACGCACACGCACACACACAGACACAATACCGAACAGACTGACCTTCTGAGGCGCACACGCACACACACAGGCACACACACACACACAACGACACGCACACACACACACATAGACACACACACGCACGTAAAGACACAGGCACGGACACACATAACCAGGCGTTCTGACACATATAGACATGCACACAATTGAGCACACACAGAGTGAAACAAGCGGTCACGAGCGAACTCTTTGAACCTGACCCCGCCCGGGCGGGGTCATGAGCGAGCATTATGACCCCGCCCTGGCGGGATCAGAGTGAGGATTCCAACCCCGCCCACGCGGGGTCAGGAACCTCACGCAAGATGAGTTGAATTACGCAGCCGTTGCATGTAAGTAACATCATACGATGTTTGGCAAGACCGTGTCCTCCGAGTTGTGCCGAGTCAGCGCTCCGTAAACGTAGTGTTTGCCATTGCTAATGCATATTTGCATAGCTACACGCATACTAGAGAGTAGAGTGCAGAACGGTTCAGCGGTTGGATCGAGAAAACAGTGTTGTAATACACAAGGTGAGAGCGAGAGAGAGAGAGCAAGAGAGAGAGGGGGGGAAAGGGGTTGACCAGAGATGGAGATAGGGAGAGAGAGAGAGAGAGAGAGAGAACGAGAGAGACACATAGAGAGAGAACGAGAGAGAGACAGACACACAGAAGGAGAATGGAAGTTGCAACTACAGTCAATTATACATTTGCAGCTACATATGTGTACATGTCCATGAACATGATTGGAAGATGGGTGGAGGTACATGTCGAGGGAATAGTTGATTGTTTTTTCTTGATGTGACCAGTCCGCAAATACAAGGTATGCATTTGCAGAGCGAGATCACAACGACATGTCGGATAGTTGTCGCACAGGGTTTGTTGGTAAGAGGGGATACACCAGGGTTGAGGAAAGCGAGAGAGAGAGGTACATATAGATATACAGTTGTACGTCTTGGAGTATGCATATGATAGTGGAGTGCAGAGTGCATCGGGACGATACACACAGTAAACAGAACAGAGAGGGAGAGGGAGTGAGACAGTGAGTGAGAGAGGGGGGGGGGCAGGTGCGGAGTACCTGCGGAAATGTTGGGACATTCGCTGGCTGAGGCTCTCCTTGTGTCACTGGATGGCCCCAGGCCCGGAGACAGCCCCCCGGGGCTGCAATCAACGAAACACCGCCGGCTGAAAAAGTAACATCGTCGGGAGCCTGGGGTTGGTTTTCCTGTATCTTAGGCTACCGCGCGGTCTGGGTTCAGGTCGGTCTGGCCTGGGAAGGCGCGCAATCCGAGAGAGGCTCGGGACCCGGATGCGCGTTTGCAAGTGCTCGGAACCGCGACTTGGGACATGCCGTGGGCTAGAACACGTATCCATATCCACTCCTACAGGGGCAGCAAACGACCACAACCACATCGAGGACGTATCCTGGAGGATGCTTTGCGCGTGCCAACAATCGGCAGAGCACCGAATCCAGCTTAGTACTGATTGTGGTCGATCTGAGCGTCCCAGGCGGCCAAAACGACCACAGCCACAGCCAACGTGCTCATGTCGAGGTCGGTGGGTTCTCCCCCGCGGGACCCTCCGGAAGATTCCGCGCAGTTCCGGTTGTGGCTCCGTGCTGTGCTTGGAGCTGCCCCGCGGGCCGGGCTCTGGGCCGCAACCCCGTGGCTACGGGGCGTTTTTCGCGGGTACCCCGCACGGGACTTTGCCGTGCGACCGCGCATCCACGGGATCGCGCCTGGGAATCCCCAGACACGCTTTCCGTCTTCCTTAGGGAACGGATTCCCGGAGGCCTGGGCAGTGTTCTTAGGTCCTCAGAGGCGGCAATAGGGGCGAATAGCCCAGGGGAGAGCAATACATGTATCCAGGGGCGCCGATGATCTATGTCTTCGACAAGGCTCCCGGGCGAATACGTGTAATGCCCGCCCTTGGGCTATGCGCCCTTATCGTCGCCGCCGAGGTCCGGCTCTTCATCTCGAGTCGTGTTCAGACGGTCCCGATCCTGAGTCGTATTTAGACGGACCCGGGGCCCGTGGGGGGCACGCGGCGGCCGAGAGCTGCAAACAAAAAACGGCAGTTTTTTTGGTTGTCGCAGGCTCGGATCACTGGGCCCAGACCGCGAGGGCGTGGAGACCCCCACCAAATTAACACCCTACTTGGGGATACACCCTTCGAAACCCGAAGGGCGTGGATATGAATACGTTGGTATCGTTTGACCGATCCCCATCCCCATCCCCATCCCCTTCGAGACCCCCATCAAATTACCACCCCAGTTGGGGATACACCCCTGGAAACCCGCAGGGAACGGCCTATATCCCCATCTAGCGGGGTAAATCGGCCAGTAGGGCCCAGGCCACCCCGCTGGAGATGGGGATCAGTTAAACGATACTCCATACGCTCGCCGCTCGTGGGCGCGCACCGGCATCCGAGGCCCCGTCGGCACCCTCGCGCAGCGGGACCCCGGCACACCCGCACTCGCTGGCCGGCAGCCCAGCGCAGCCGGGGCTCTGCTTCAGCCCCGCGCGGGGCGTCACGCGCATGCAGTCCGCAGGCTCGGCCCAGCCGTCCCACGCTGCAGGCCGCGAAGATCGGGGGCAACGTCATAAGAGTAACGATCGTCCGCAGGGGAGGGGGCGGCTGGACACCCCCCACACAGGCTGGTGCCCGAAGGCAAGGTGAGTTGCTTACAGGTTCGTTTCGGCTCTGCCATGCTCCTCCCGCACAAGCCTGATCATTACCCGTGGCCCCAACCCCCACCTCCCCCCGGAGAACGACCGTTACCAGAACTCATGAATTGACATGTGACCTTATCCGTGAAGATCAGGGGCAATGTTCGGGGGTTAATGCTAGGGGTGTTCGGACGTGTTCGCTGGCTCTCGGCCGTTTTCCAGCCTCAGGATGCCTCCCAGCAGCTGCGCCGCACCGATTGCGTTTCCGGGAGGCCCTGATTGCCGGCAGCGGCCGCCAGAGAGTCGAGTTGTGACCCGAAAGCCTCGGGCAACGATACGGGGGGACAGTCTCGGGGGGGATGCATCGGCTCGCATTCGCCCATCCATTCGCCGATAGGGGCCCGATAGCCCCGTCCGGCCAGGACTGTGCGGACTCGGAGGCTTCTCGGCGATGCTGAATCCGCCCGCAATTCCAAAGTACAGTGCAAACGCCTCGCCTGGGCACCTCTGCTCGGCGAGTGTTGCTGCCAGCAGGCGTCGTGGTGAAGTCTTCGCCGACGAGGAGCTACAGCTGTGCGACTTCCCCCAGCGGCGCACTCCTCGGCCCAGCCAGCTCGGCTGCTGAGGGCAGTGGGAAGGCAAGGGTGCTGTGCAGGATGGCGAGCACCTGCGACGAGCGCGCAGGCCCTTGGGAGGCCAAGACCGGCTCGGCTGCCTCTTGCGGGGCACGATCCTCTCCACAGGAGTATGTACTCTCCTCCCCTCACGGTCCGCGCCCCCTCTCTGCAGTCGCATAATGCCCCAGGCTGGCTTGATTCGGAGCTCCGTTGCCACAGCTCGGCGGCGCGTCGGAGCTGGGGGGGGGGAGAGTGCGAGGGGGGGTAGGCCTCTTCAGAAGGCTGCTCAGGAGCGGGCGAAGAGAACTATGCACATGCACCGATCCTGGCAAGGCCCATTTTTGACCCAGGATCGGTGCATATGCCTTCCTGGCCAAGGTAGGAGGGCGTATGCACCGATCCTGGGCTCAGGATGGGACTGGCCAGAATCGGTGCATGTGCATAGTTCTTTTCCCTCTATCAGGAGCCCTCCAGCCTGGCTGGAAAAAGTCCCCCGTGGCATCGGAGGTGGCTCAGAAGGCTGCTCAGATGGCCTCCCTGCGCCTTCCGAGAGAGGGCTCGGCCCTTCTGGTCTTCCTGGGCGCTCGCCGCCGGAAGACGCCCCTCGCGCCGCGCCTTGCCGCTGCAGCTCTCGCTGCCTCCTCCTCCTCCTCCCTCCTCCTCCTCCTCCTCCTCCTCCTCCCTCCCTCCCTCCCTCCCCTCCCTCCCTCCCTCCCTCCCTCCCGCCCGCCCGCCCGCCCGCCCGCCCGCCCGCCCGCCCGCCCGCCCGCCCTCCTCCTCCTCCTCCTCCTCCTCCTGCGGCGGCGCCGTGCCTTGCCGCTGCAGCGTCGCCCCTCATTGCGGTGTCCCCGCAAGTCCCGACCCTTTTCCCCGGGCTGGCTTCCCATCCTGCGTTGGAACATTCGGACGTTCTCGGGGCCCAGCGAGGGCTTCTATACGAGCCGAACAGGGCGAACCAAGTCCGTCTTGATTTTGTAAGTGCGTTGGATCTCTGGGGCCCCCCCTTGCAGGCAGCTCTCCGGCGGAGGATCCCGCCGCGAGGATCCTGTTCGGCTCCCTGTCGGCCTCCCGCGTGCTCGCCCCGATGACGGGCGCCTGCGTCGGCAGTCCGCAGTCCGCCGGCGAGCGGGGCGAGCGAAGCATAGCGCGTCCACGCCACGTACTGTCTGTGCGTCCCAGGCCCCCCTGGCGCGTTCAGAGCTCTGGCTCTCGAGTCCTCAGACAGGCTCGCGTAGTGAAAACATCTGGACGGGAGGCTTTTGGCCGTTTCCGGCCTCTGGGGTGCCTTTAGTGTGCCCCGGGACCGTCAAGACACGATTCAGGACGAAAAACAGTGTCTTTTGAGTTGCCAGGGCACGGTCAAGTTAGAGCATCCTTCTCTGGGCTGCTCGGCGTATCCACCGAGCAGGACCCCCAAATCAAGAACAATGGGGTGTCCCAGGATCATCGCTCATCTTTTCGCGGCCTTTGGTCCGCGCCGCGTTGACGCAGCGATGATCCCAGTTCGGGCGTTGAAGGTTGAGCGCCGCCAATGGCCCGGAATCGACAGAATCGAGCCACAGGCGATGTCGGAGAGGCCGCGATCGTTCAACGATTGAGCGATCTAAGCGGTGTCAGAGACCAACGCTGACGTCGTCACGACGCGAAGCGGCCGTTAGTTCGGTGGCACGTCATGGGAGCCGTGAGTGTCCTCGGTCTGGTAATCGATGAGAGCGCAGATGTGGCATCGACTAGCGTCGATTAGCGTCGGTCAGCGTCAGTTCGCCAGAGGATGACACGTGAGGCTCACATGAGTTGCCACAGAACGTTAAGAGGGTTCTCCAGAGTGCGCTCGGTCCCTGGCTGCCTCCAATGGAGGGTTCCAAGGGGTGCTATGCGCGGATGGGCTTGGGCCGACCCTCTGGAGCCTGTTTCTTTACTGCTTGGGCCATAACCGGCGTCATTGCCCCAGGCCCCACCCGCATAACTTGACGCCCTCCCCCCCCCCTGGTGCGCCCTGGGCGCTGCCGCCGTGCGCATGGGGGTCCGCATAGGCGTCCGCATAGGAATCCGCATAAGGGTCCGGTCCGCATTGGGAATCTCATGGGGATCAGCATAGGGATGCGTTTGCGCATCCGCATGAGGATCCGCAATGGGATCCGCATAGGCATTCGCAAAGGGGTTCGCATGGCAATGCGCATGGGCATCCGCATAGGCATCCTCATCGGGATCCACATCGGGATCCACATCGGGATCCGCATAAGCATCCGCACAGGGATTCGCACAGGGATCCGCATAGGGATCCGCAGAGGGATCCGAAATTGTGACTTTGTGTTTCTGGTGAAATCTCTTCCTCCTCCTGCTCCTTCCCCTCCTCCTCCTCCTCCTCCTCCTCCTCCTCCTCCTCCTCCTCATTTGAGCAGACCTTAGGGTGACCTGTGACGTTCTTGAACGTCGAAGACTAAATATGTACGCGACTCGGCTGAAAAGGGACCTGGCGCGCGCCGCGGGCAAGGGTGGAAAACAAGTCCAGGAAAACAACGGAAATACCAGTAGGCGCCCGCCAGGTACCAGAGGACGGCACGGACCTTAGTAATACGCACACTAGGTCACATAGTTAGGCCATAAGATTGAGTGGTCGTGCCGCTTCTGTATATGCAGTGTATCCAAGGATAAGGCGCAACGATCGCCATTCGTAAGATACAGCGGCGCTGTGAGGGCAGTTCTCGGGGTGCTGCCCAGGTTTTAGGTGTACCCCGGACCGCAGGTATTTTCCTCCCCAGTTCCCAAGTAGTACCCGCCCAAGTCCCTGCCGAGGCTTGAGTGAGGCTGGCTGCGCGCTGTCAAGCACATGAGTAGGCTGGCCTGAGGGCTGGCCTGCGTGCCAGTGTGGGCTTGCAGGTGGTATGTGTTCTCCAGCGAAGTAAGGCTTGCTGAGCTGCGTGCTGTCAGGCAAAAATTAGCCTTCCTCGCGATGGTCAGAGTGTGGTTGGCTGTGCTGCAGATTGTCGGGCAAAAAAATATGCCGGGTTTAATACGAACCCTGTTTTTCCAAACCTCACAGGGGCTGGCCAGGGCAGGCTGGCCTGTGCAAAAGAGGCGTGTGCGGCTGACGGTCATATACTAGCTGTGGGACGAGAGAAAAGACAGCCTCCCACTCCACTTAGTGGAGTCGTACCTTGTAAACAGTAGCTAGCAATGCTTGGGCTGCGATCCAGGGCTTTTTAGGTGAACCCCAAACCGGCGATGACTGAGAGAGGAAGGCTGAGGAATCTGAGGATCAGAGGGGGTTAGGATAGTCGTAGCGCGGGCAGCATGCAGCAGCGTAACACGCATAACGTCTGGGTCTTTCTTCCACCACCACCCGCCCGTCCCCTCCCGAAATATTTAATTGAAGGCGAAGTAAGGCTGGCTGGGCTGCGCGCTGTCAGGCAAAAGAAGGGCCCATGAGTCTGAGTGAGGCTGTGCTGCACACTGTCAGGCAATAAGATTAAGTACTGGTGCAAGAGAAATGCGAATGAAGTTGAACGTGAGCGGAGTGCGGGACTATCGAACGGCCGATGTGAAAGCCAAAAAGAAGGTGGCATGTGCAGTTGGTAGTTATTGCTGCGCGGATTGTATGCAGCTGGTGCGCCACAGCCGTACAGGTAGGCAATTTGTTCACGTGTGCGGTTGGGGCCCTAAACATGTCAGCCTTTATGCACATCCAATTCCACTCCGCTCAGTGGGGTCGTAACTTGCACAATTAACTCTCAATGCTTGGGCTGCGACCCGTTTTTTTGGCGGACCCCAAATTTACGATGAGTGAGTGAGGAACAGACAGAAGAATAAGATGATCATCGGAGGGAGGTAAAATAGACGTAATGCGGGGCAACATGCAGTGCAATCACAGGACAGCTCGCCGCTTGGGCCCCACCGCCAGCCCAAACAGCGAGCATAAATCGGGCGTAACCCCACATGCATTCGAATGCCCACACCTCGTCCTTGTACTACTCGTTTTCTTCCCCTTCGTCCTCCCCATCCTGATCGTCGTAGTCGTCCTTCTCCTCGTCCTCCTCATCCTCCTCGTCTTCCTTGTCTTCATCCTGCTCCAGTTCCTCCTCGTCGTCCTCGTCTGGGACCTTGTCCTCGTTTCTCCTCTTCCTCCTCCTGCTCATCCTCCTTGTCCTGGCACCTCGGCGCTTGTGGCCCGCTTGCGGCTAAAGGGAACGGCTCAACGCCGGACCAGGTCACGGACCTTGCCGCAGAGATGCCAGCGGAATTGCGGAAGTTTGTCGTGTAATGTCTGAAACCGGTTAAACAAATGATGACCCCCCCCCCGGATCCCGACGGGCATTGATTCGCATCCGAATAACTATTTTTTTATATGTCCCCCCTTCGAAAAAATGCCACGGATGCCGATCGATGCCACATGCATATATATCTCGACCTTTCCCGACGCCCACGGCCAACCCCGCCGACGCCCTTCCCGACGCCCTTACGCCCACGACCCCCCCCGACGCCTGTCCCGACGCCCACACCGGCCCCCCTGTCGCCGCCGTAGTGTCCGTAGGTTTGTCGCGGGTGGCCTTTCCCTCCTGGCCCCTGGCCCGGCCCTGCTGCTGCTGCTGCTGCTGCTGTTGCTGCTGCTGCTGCTGCTCCTCCTCCTCCTCTTCCTCCCCCTGCTTTCCCTCCGCTTCTGCTCGTTGCTTCCCTCCGTTTCCTCTCCTCCTGCTTCCTGCCTGCTGTTTCCGCCTGGCCCGTTTTCTGCCTGCCCGCCCGCCCCGCCGGCCCTGGCCTCCCGCCTGGGCGTTCGTCGTCGTCTGCCTGCTCCTCCCCTCTTCGCCCCCTTTCCGCCGGACCGCGCTGCCTGCCCGGAACCACGTGCCGATGTGGATGTTCCCGTCTTCCGATCGGAGAATGAATTTTTACCATGGGTTTTCGCCATTGGGTTTTGGAGTTCAACATCGCCCCAGTTGTATAAAATCCATCAGCTCGCGCGTTGGCGATTGGCATTTGTGCATCCAGTGTCGCATATCCCCTTGTGGATGTTCCCGTCTTCCGATCAGGGAAGAAATGTTTACATTGGCTTTTCGCCATTGGGTTTGGGAGTTCAGCCTCGCTCCCGTAGTATAAAACTTATCAGCGGCATGCCGCGCGCGTTGGCGATTGGCATGCATTTGTGCATCCAGTGTCGCATATCCACATGAGGATGTTCCCGTCTTCCGATCAGAGAATGAATGTTTACATTGGGTTTTCGCCATTGGGTTTGGGAGTTCAACATCCCCCCCGTTGTATAACACTTATCAGCGGCATGCCGCCGCTGCGCGCGCGCTGACGATGGGCATTTTTGCATTAAGTGCGGTATGTTCACATTGGGATGTTTCCGTCTTCCGATCAGAGAATGGATTTTTACATTCTGGGTTTTCGCAAGTGGGTTCGGCAGTTCAACATCGCCCCCGTTGTATATACAAAAAAAAAAACGATCAGCGGCATGCCGCTGCCGCGCGCGCGCTGGCGATTGGCATTTGCGCACCCAGTGTCGCATATCCACATGAGGATGTTCCCGTCTTCCGATCAGAGAATGTTTTTTTATATTGGGTTTTCGCCATTGCGTTTTGGAATTCAAAATATCTCTCGTTATATAAAAATCGATCAGCGGCATTCCGCCTCCGCGAGCGCGCTGGCGATTGGCATTTGTACATTCAGTGTCGCATCTCCACATGGGGATGTGCCCGTCTTCCGATCAGATACTGAATGTTTACATTGGGTTTTTTTGCCATTGGGTTTTGGAGTTCAACATCGTTCCCGTTGTATAAAACTTATCAGCGGCATGCCGCCGCTGCGCGCGCGCTTGCGCTTGGCATTTTGCATCCAGCGTCGTATATCCACATTGGGATGCTCCCGTCTTCCGATCAGAGAATGAATTTTTACATTGGGTTTTCGCCATTGGGTTTGGGAGTTCAACATCCCCCCCGTTGTATAACACTTATCAGCGGCATGCCGCCGCTGCGCGCGCGCTGACGATGGGCATTTTTGCATTCAGTGCGGTATGTTCACATTGGGATGTTTCCGTCTTCCGATCAGAGAATGTTTTTTTTTTCATTTTGGGTTTTCGCAAGTGGGTTCGGCAGTTCAACATCGCCCCCGTTGTATAAAAACC